TTGATGGCTCTATACGCAGGTACAAAGCTCGCTTCGTTGCTAAGGGACACACGCAGCGCCATGGCATCGACTATACTGAGACATTCAGTCCCGTTATCAGGTCCACGACAATTCGCCTTGTTCTGGATGTAGCTGTAAGTCGTTCTTGGCCCATCAAGCAACTCGACGTTAACAATGCTTTCCTTCAAGGATCCTTGACCGAAGAGGTGTACTGCAATCAACCACCCGGATTCGTCGATGTTAATCGTCTCCACCATGTCTGCCGCTTGCATAAAGCTTTATACGGTTTAAAACAAGCACCTCAGGCCTGGTATCAGGAACTCAGCAACTTCCTAATTGCATCCGGATTCAATAATTCGCTTGCTGACGCATCTCTATTCATTCTCAAACGGGGATCCTCGCTTATCTACATTCTCATCTATGTTGATGACATTCTCATCACGGGCAATAATTACACTCTCCTGCAGCAAATTCTGGATTCTCTCGCCACAAAGTTCTCTGTCAAAGATCCTGAAGACCTTAACTACTTTCTTGGCATCAAAGCTCACAGAACTCACCATGGTCCTCATCTCACCCAACGACGGTATATTTTAGACATCCTCACTCGTTGTCACATGTTTGATGCGAAACCCGTAACTACTCCTATGGCTACAACACCAAAGTTGACTCTTCGATCAGGCACACCTTTGCCTGACCCCGCAGAATATAGAGCAACCATTGGCAGTCTACAATACTTTGCTTTTACAAGACCGGACATTGCTTATGCTGTTAGTCGCCTTTCCCAGTTTATGCATTCCCCCACAACCGACCATTGGCAAGCAGCTAAGCGTGGTCTACGCTATCTCGCTGGCACAGCCTCTCATGGATTGTTCTTCAGCAAAAACATACTAGTGTTCTTCACGACTACTCCGATGCTGATTGGGCCGATGACTTAGATGATTTTGTCTTGACTAATGCTTATATCATCTATCTTAGCAAGCATCCAATCTCTTGGTCTTTAAAGAAACAGAAAGACATTGCACGCTCCTCCACTGAAGCGGAATACAGGTCCGTTGCTAATACCTCCTCTGAAATTCGGTGGATTTGTTCACTTTTAACCGAGCTTGGCATTCAAATTCAATCCACTCCCGTCATTTATTGTGTTAATGTGGGTGCTACTTATCTTTGTGCAAATCCGGTTTTCCACTCACGGATGAAACATCTTGCACTTGATTACTATTTCATCCGCAACCAGATCACTTCAGGAACTCCCTGTGTTGCTCATGTTTCATCTAAAGACCAACTGGCCTATGCTCTTACCAAACCCTTGGCTTGAGCTCCATTCATTAATCTCTCTTCCAAGATTGGAGTTTCAAAAGCTCATCCATCTTGAGGAGGAATATTAAAAAAAGAAGATCCTTTATATTAGTTTACAATCCTTCTAATTTCTTATTCTGATTACTATAATTACTCTGTTAATTTCTTTAGAATATTCATGTATCCTGTATATATATTTATACTCTGTTCACTATGATATACAAGAAACATTCCTTCTTTATAAACGGTACGTACTGTTTCAAACGGTACGTACTGTTTCTGTTCTTTTGTTGCATCAATTTTTGTTGAATTGTTGTCACAGCTTTATATCAGATTTCTTAGAGAAATAATTTCATAGTCTAAGCCATTAAAAAGGCTTGGAGCCTTAGCATATGTAATCACCACGTTTCAGATTTATTTAAGAAAAATAATCAATTTGAAATAGAATTTTGTAATTTGAGAAGATACAAAAGCTAATGTACGATATCGATGAAAGTAAAAATAAGAAACGGTAATGAAAAAAAAAACGTGGTTACCTCCTTATTGATTGTTTCGTTATATACGGTATAAACATGTTCCATCGCTAATTATTATTAAAAAAATCGTGATTATTCTGTATCAGTTCTATTCAACTAATTTATTTTTGATGTGAAGTAACATATACATTTAAGAGTGAATTAACATATACATTCGAGTCAAATTTATTGACTAATAACTACGTACATTTTTGACAAAATTACGTACATTTATCGCTGATAAAACTAGACGCATCTAGAAATTAAATTATTATCTTTAACGTCAAACGTAATAACGTCGGTGGTTGAATGTGGCGTTTTCTTTGATATGACTTATAAACTAACTTCTGCAATACATTATTGTTGTTCGCTTTTTGGCCTAGAATTGCATTGGTTACTTCAAAAGAATAGAGAAAAAAACTTCTAACATAACTATAATTAATGTAAATTTGTATCAACCCTTTATGTCAACTTCTTTGATTTCAGTGGCTTATCCGGTTTACCGTTTATCTGGTTTACGGAATATGTTTTGTCAAATCATTAATCTGATAACAATTAAACTCTAATCGCACATACACAGATCCAACTATCCGCACGTAGGACCTATGTAATCATGAAAGTAAACACACACTTAATTAACACTTTGTGATTAGAAGGGAAGCGAGAAATTCAAAGAGAAACAACAACTCCATAGGGGAAGAATTCAGAATTGATAGGTTGGATGTGCCTATGGGCCTAATGTGTATTTAAAAAGGCATTTGCCTCAGGCACGCCAATAATATAAATAATTTAGGGCTTTTGGTTTTAAAAATGGGTTTATCAGAGTGGTATTAGGAAATGTGTTCTATATACTTAACCTGGCTTCGACCTATCTCAACTTCACCTTCGCTTTTATTTTTCGAAAATAGAAGTTAGATAAAAGGAAATTTAGATTTTCAAAACTAAAAAAGGAAACCTGAATTTAAAGCCGAGAAGAATATTTCTAAATCAAAAAATAATATATAAGTTTATATAATAATATTTAGAGAAATTTCTTCAAAAACTAGTTTAAACTATTTCCACCCCCTAGCATTTTAAAAGAAAGAATGACATTAATGTCTTCAATTAAATAACATTCTGACTATTTGAATTCACTAATTTCAAATCACGATCTCCTTCTTCGTCTTCATCCAGTTTTAAATCGGGAGTTTTCACGCCGACGAGTTGCTGGGATTCTTCACGCCGACGAGTTGCTGCCGCCGATGACGATTTCAAATTCATATTTGTTTAAGATCGTTCTTCTGTTTGATTGTGGTTTGTGATTGTGAATCTTTTAGATCTTTGAAGTTTTATTATGGGAAAGTATTTTCGGGATTTAAATCTCAAAATCATATAGTAGAAGATAGATCTGATATAATTGGATTAAAGACTCAAGAAACCCGAGCTAAAACAACAACAATGGTGAAAAAAAGGAAATCGGCGGAAATTAGGGTTTGATTGTCGTAGAGGTGAGGAAGGAGATGAGAGTAAATTTAGGAAGATACTCTAAACTTTTAGGAAGACTTTCCTAAAATGTATAAATTAAGGAAGCCATTACATGCATTTATGAATGTCTTCGTAAATCGTATAGTTGGTTTTTTCTGTTAATTTATACAATTCAAATTAAGATACATTTCTACAATTCATGAAACATTTCCACAATTCAGGAAGCTCTTCCATAATTCAATTTTTTTAAAAAAATTTAGAAAACCTTACCTAAATCATGTGAAATGATTTTAAATTATAATATTTGGAAGATCTTCCTAAATAATCTCGAAACATTAATAGAGAAAAAAACATTTAGGAAAACCTTTCTAAATGGCAAAATCGGAAAAATTCAAATGAAAAATATTAGGTGTGGAAAAGTTTTAGCTTTCCTATTATATTTGTCCTGAAAACTTGTTTTTAGTATAATTATGGAAATTGCCCTAATATTTATTTGATTAAATTTTTTGAAAAGATAACTCCAATAAATTTTACAATTAGTTTTAGATTTATCAAATTTAAAACCTATTTTTATATTTGCCTTAAGTTCTTATAACCTAGGCACGGCACTACGTTTGTGTAGGAAAAGAAGATAATTATCTTCAGAAAGGATTGCTCGAAGAATGGAGAATAAGAGCCTTGTGGAAATTGGCTAAACGTCTAAAAGGAGAAGACTAGTATCAAATACTCTATCTGAGAAAGAGTCTTTAGTTAACACCTAAATAATGACCTGTATAGCCACAAAATTAAATGGAATATTATATTATGTATATCTCGTTTAATTAGTGTTAATCGTTTACATGAATAGGCCAAAAGAAAAAAAAACATGGTACAGGAAAGTCTTTCACAGCCTATTAAAACATGTTAAAAGAAGTGATTTAAAGCAGTAAGAGAACTAGGAAGAAAAACTCACTGCCATTTTTCATTGATCAGCGACTTTGATACGTCATTGGTTGTACAACGTGTTCAACCTCCACGTATGCACTTCTTACAGCCATGAAGATTCTTGAATATTCTTCTCTTTGAATAAAAGTTTCTATATATTTCAGTTTCGCCTCGTTTGTTTAATCTGTTGAGTTACACAGGAAAAAATCTGTCTCTCTATAGATAACAAAACCGGTAAAATATTCCAACTAAAGCAAACTAATTAGAGTGTCCCTAAACCCGTATACCAGCTTTGTTTGGTGAAAGTGTTCAAAGGCATATGATATTTTGTACTTTGCCTTGAAACAACTTTGTAGCAAATTTAGTATTTATATTTTTCGTTTATTGTTGTTGTACTTGAAGTCACTTTCTTTGTAGTTGAACAATCCAATGAAGGAACCAGGAAACATAACAGCAGAGAAAAACATTGAATAGAAACTAATATCATTTTCTCAGTATAACCATAAGGTCAAAGAGTTGTCGGATTAACAAAAAGGGAAAGGACAAAAGGGGAATTAGCGAAGTAAGGTAATGAGTTTGTGAAGTCAATATATTTCAGTTTGCTTTGGTTTTGGAAGTTGGGGGATTCTTATCATAATAAAACATGATAAATGATATTAAAAACATGATAAAATGATATTCCAGTTTTTAATATTTTTCTCTTTGGATAATAAAACTTCGGATAGACAAAGCCGGTAAAAGATTCCAACAAAAGCTAACTAAGAGTGTCCCTAAACACTTAATTAGACCAGCTTTGTTTGGTGAGAGTATTTAAAGGCATATGAGCTTTTGTACTTTTGTCTCAAATAAACAACTTTCGTAGCAAATTTGATTCTTAGATTGTGTTGTTGTACATGAAGTTACATTCTCTGTGGTCGACCAATTTAATGTAAAACACAACAGTAGAGACAAACATTGGATCGATACTAATAGATATAAGCTCAAAGAGTTGTCTCATCAACAAAAAGAGAAAGGACAAAAGGGGAACTACCGAAGCAAGGTAATGAGTTTGTGAAGTTTATGCTTCAGTTTGGTTTGGCTTTGGCTTTGGAAGTTGAGGGCTTCTTATCATCTTCTATCTCCTTCTCCTTGTTCTTCTCTCCCTCCTCGAGGTTGTCGATACTATGCTTCAATCCAATGTAATAGAGCAACGCCCCAACTAACGTCAAGTTCTGCAAATCAATCACATTCTTTGTTAATTAAGCAAACACATGATGATGAGATCAATATGTGTGGAATTTTACGTGGTAATAAAGCTAATTAACCTGAGTGAAGTCAGTCAAGTTGGTAGGGAAAGGAATAACAGTTGAGAGAATTTGCGTTGCGAGCTGAATCAACAAAACATGTTTTGAGATTAAAACCTTCGTAAAAACAAGAGAAATATAAATCTGAAGAATAGAGATTTATATTATTACCAAGAAGTAGGCAGGGATGGTTTGTCCAAAGATGAACCATAAAGCTGCTGTTCCCTTTGCGGTTATGAGCGAGAACTCAAGAAGTCGAACATCGAACGCAACCACTTGCATTCCAGTGTAAAACGTGAGAACCTTAGAACCATATTTGGTCATCACATTCACTGCTGGTCCAACCGTCTTTTCGAGCGGCCCACCATCCCCAAAATGATCAGCATAGCTATAACAAAGACGTTTAGATATGATATAAAGACCAAAAGCATTCACGGGCCATATCTTGATTTCTCATTCTAATTCCTGTTCTTTCCCTCATATGTGAATAACTTTTTCTTTGTTGAACGATTATCAAATATATAAAGAAATTAACCGAGTCGAGGATTTAGTTTAATTTGCTTACTCGTTGATAGCAGAGATGATAAAGACAAAGGCAAATGCCATTCTCCCGAAGAATGCTATTGCTGGTATTGACCTTGTTAAGGTAGTGCACATCATGTTCTTGACGTTCGACATCCTGGGATTGTGTTCTTGATGTCAGTTTTAGCTATTAAATCAGACTACGATAGTGTTAACACACATAAAGAACAAAAAACGTCAAATCACCATAAGAGAAATAAAGGATATAGAAGAATCTTGATGGGAATCATTAATTAAACCAACAACTCTAGAAACAAACTAATTTTACTTTTCTTAAAAAGCATAAGAGTAACTTTCTTTTGTAATTTTCCTAATGTTTTTTTTTACTATAAGAACTAATCAGAAACAAGAATTCAGATCTTGATTAGGGGCAGAGATGCTTACATGTTCCAAAAGTAAAAGCTTTAATGGATCTGTAGCATATGAAGTAAATAAATAGAAAGTCTATGCATTTAGATGAATAACAGAGAGGATTGGAAAATGAAGGCATACATGATCCATTGAAGAGGAAGAAGTTGGTTTAGTTATTTCAGTCGTAATAAACAAAGGCCATCATTCACGCAGACCGGCTTGTATGTACCAATTATCTCTGAACAAAAATCCTTTATTTGTTCATTATAGAATAATTTAAACGTACTTTTTTAGAGAAGCTGATAAGTATGATTTGGGTATTCTTTTGAGGTCAACGTTTACAAAAAGAAAATATCAATTAAAAATAACATGATAGAGATGTGCATTGCATAACTATGCTCCTCCGAATAATAGCATTCTTTTAATAAAATCATGACATTATTGATCAAATTGTCTCTACTGGTGTTCACATGATAACTAATTTGGCCGCATATAATCACTAACGTAATTAGGTTTTAACTTTTGAATATAAAACAAATTACGGGCCAATCATCATAAGATAAATGTAAAATTCGAATAGGGTACCAAGTAACAATCCCTGTGACAGTTTTATTCCGATAATTTATGGAGGGACAGGACAAGTCAATAACTTATATCACTAGAAAGAGTGTTTATATAATACTACAAGCAAGCCAGACAATAGCTAGCATATATGAGTATTGTTAATAATTAAATATGAAGAGTTAGGTGTCTTATCTGTCATGATTTTTATGACTAAGTAAGAGGAAAATGCACATTAGTGATATTATTGTAATCATGTGTTCAACGTGGACTCCGACTTCCTACCAAATTAGGTTAAACAAAAATTCAACTGTCGATAAAATAACAAAGATAGCATTAAGAGCATATGTTACAACTGGATCAATATAAGTTTTCTTATAATTTTTTTGATAAAGAAAACAAAAATTGTAATATACGATATTGGATACTTTGTGATATACGATAAAGAGTTCACAAGGAATGGATATGATATTAATGTGGATTTTACCGTCAGTGTTCTTCTCCCTTGATTATTTACTCTTCTTGCTCACCAAAGTAAATCCACATCTCTACACCTTTGTCATATTGTCTCTCTACTTCTTTTGTTTCATCAAACCCTTCTATGAGTTTCTCTCTCCATCTTAGTTTTTGAACTATAAATTTTTCTTTATCCTTAAGATTTACGAATGATTTTGTTTTGTCGTAAGCTTTTGTAACAAGTGTCCATAGTCTTCCATGTTATATAGCCAAGTGTCCAATGCCTAATACAAATGTCAAGAGCTTAGAGTCCTTGTTTGTTGTATACGATTTTTGCTTGATAACACACCGAGAAGTATATAGAAAACATATACTAATAATTAACATGGTATTTATACTGAAAGATGGTATTAGCCAACTTAATAAATACGCTAATACGTACCGTATGAAAAAGGGTAAGAAATGTTAATTGATGATGCACCGCATTTACGAACTACAGATGTCAATGCAGTATGATATCATTGATATGCACATCACATAATCCCATCTATCAACTACGTTTCCTCACAACTTCCAAATAAAAAACTAACATAATTTTTTTTCTCTTTTTTTTTTCTTGTGCTTGCTGTAATTAGTCTAATTTTTATTTAAGTTTAAAATGAAAAACGCTCAGAACGTGCAAAGTGCACCCATTTTCTTGTCTCAGGAAGAAGACCAAGTTGCAGTTTCTCTTGTGAATCATCATCATCCTTCACCAACCCAATACTTCTGTTGGCTTCCTCTTCAATACCTTCTCCGTTAGCAAAAGAGTAAGACTTTCTTTCTTAACAATCATCGAAAATTCCCAAATTTTTCAATCTGATACATCATCATCATCGTTCTCCTTTGGCTTTATTTTCAGGGTACTTAGTAAGAATCGGAGATGGATTATGTGCAGAGAAAAGTGAACAATTTAGGCAAAAAAGTTGCTACTTTCCCTCATGTTGAAACTATTGGAAGAGCTCTATTTGCCTCATCCTTCTTCCTCTCTGCTTGGCATGAGTATGACTCATCGAACTACCTCCTCTGTTTTAATATCCTCATCTCACTATCTTGACCTAGAATTCATATAGAACCCTATTTTTGCAAGAAGGAGGCTCTTGATACTCCTTTGCTTTTCTCTTTATTTTTCTTTTTTTTGTTATATTTAGTTACATGGAGCTCAGATCCAATTGGGAAGGAGCAGAGGATTATTGGAGACCAAAGTTCGGCTATTCAGGAGACCAGATTAAGCATCTTATGGCAGTTAGTATCATAGTGAAAACGCTTGGTGGACTTATCTTCATCTATGGCAGCTTCTTTGGAGCTTTCCTCTTGGTACTTAACTCTCACTTTTGTCTTATTAATGAACGTACTATAATATAGTTACTGCAAGGTTGATTCGTTTAAGTCTAAGAATCTCTTATTACATCTGAGCATTACCAAAACTATCACGGAATCAAGAGAAGAAACTCTGTATTACTAAATCAGTCAAAAAATTTAATATAAAGAAAGCCTGAAAACCCTAAAACCCTATATCCTACCTTAAATAGAACAAAGATAACTACTTAAATTATACTTATAAAATAATTAAATTAATGCTACTATGCTGTGCTTTGTTGTTTTGAGCTGCATCACCTATAGTTTATAGAGATCTCTCGGTTTCATGCCAAATGCTGTTTCCTTGTGTTTATATAGCTTCTACAACAAGCCATTGCTACAATGATACATCATGATTTCTACAGCCATCGTATTGACACTGAGGAGTTTGGATTGCTTTATCTCAAATTCAAAAGGGTGATAACAACATTTTTTTAATCTTTCTTTTCAGCTACTATGGTTTCTTTCGAATCTTATTTCGTTGCATCGACTGGCTTGTTTAGGTCCTGAACGAAACGATGTCGTACAATACAGCAAACAATTTCTACAAGTCAAACTTTGACGAGCAGCAAGTTGAGCAAGTCATATCAAAATTCCGCGAGGTGAGTTCTTGAGGCATATGTGTAATATGTTTAGATTGCAAATTCTGTTTGATGACCGATTATAATGTGCTTTTGTGTAGCTTGCCGACCACGCAGTTACAAACCCTGCCTTGTTCGGTCATAACGAGTTTTTCCGACATCTCTTAAGCTTCCTCAAGGCATTGGCCGTAGTTGGAGCGTTGCTATTTTTCTTGACTATGAAGCACAAACTCAACAAAGCCAAGAAGGAATCCAAAGTTAAAACTGACTGAAACTAAGAAATGTTCGGATCATCTTTCTTTCTTCACAGATTATCATGTCATTCCCTTTTGTCTTTATATATGTGTTATCTAAATATTCTTCTTTTTTTTGTTTTTTTTATCTAAATGTTATCTAAATATTCGGATCATCTTTTTGCTAAGGAACAAACGTCTCTCTCTCTCTTCCATGTTGTTTACTTCAGTCGCGAGTCGCGTGACTAATGGTGAAGTGACAATTCTTATACATGGTGATCGAGGATATGCATTAACCAGATAACTTTTCCTGACAATTTTTATCTGATTTCTGAACCATAAGAAAAAAAAAAGATATCATTGAGTGATTAAATTAGTTTGGAATTGGTTCTTCCTTGTTCTTCTTTCACCTATATATTTTAAGAAAGAAGAATACACAATCATAAGAATTATATTGATCTTTCGTTTGTAACTAATTACGGTAAAAAACTGTTAAATTATTATTCAATTATATTGATGGATAGATATTGTAATTTTTCTATATTGCTTGAAACAATTTTAATGTTTTCAAACTAAGCATTATTCAAATTGTAAATGTAAACGACACACGAGGACTGATTGCATTTGTTTACATTTGAAAAAAAATTATACATGTTTTAAAAAAATGAATGTACTAGCGAAGTCAAACATCATTTACAAAAGGCAAATGTAAAAGACATTAAAGTTTCACTTAGTAGTTTCATCTAAAAAAATAACACATTAATTCAACATACTGTATATCCACAAATTTCTTTTTTTTTGATCAGTTATTATTAATAATAAGAGTTTGCGAAGAGTAAAGGTGAAAATTGAAAAAAGTGCAATCCCTAGAGTGATCAAATTAGTTTGGAATTGGTTTTGTGTGTGTGTGCGCGCGCAACTGTACCGTAACTCGATTAAGTGATCAAACATGTTGAAACAGAGACGGACACACGAAAATGGTTGCTATTTTTTTCTTTCTTCATCTTCATTCATCCTTTTTATCCTTCTTTCTTTCTTTTTTTTTTCTTTCTCTTTTCTTCCTTGCTCTTCTTTCACCTATATATTTTAAGAAAGAAGAATACACAATCATAAGAATTTATTGATCTTTCCTTTGTAAATAATTACGGTAAAAAAATTGTAAAAAATGTTAATTTATTATTCAATTATATTGATGGATAGATATTGTAATTTTTCTATATTGTTTGAAACAATTTTAATGTTTTCAAACTAAACATTATTCAAATTGTAAATGTAAACGACACACGAGGACTGAAATGTCTTCTTATTTGCATTTGAAGTTTGTATTTGTTTACATTTGAAAAAAATTATACATGTTTAAAAAAAATGAATGTACTACCGAAGTCAAGCATCATTTACAAAAAACAAATGTAAATCCACAAATTTCTTTTTTTTTAATCAGTTATTATTAATAATAAGAATTTGTGAAGAGGAAAGGTGAAAATTGAAAAAAGTGCAATCCCTAGATTTGTATTCATATTCCACTCTCTCTCTGCCGCTCTCCAATGACTATGTCGTTGATATTGAGAGATCTTCCAAAAGATTTGGTAGAGGACGAGATTCTGTCTCGCATTCCGGCTACGTATCCGAAAGGACTGAGATGTACAATTAAATGATTGAATGAAAATAGTAATTATTATTGATCGTGGTTATGCAAGGTAATTTTCGTTTTTTAACTCTAGTATTGTGTGTGTTTTTTTTAACACCGAGGCTGACTCAGCATCCACGTAAGCATTATAAAATAAAAAGATTATTTGTTAAATTTCCTATTTCATTATATATTTTCTCCATTTTTTATTAGATGATATTTAAAACTTTTACATACAAATTAAAAAATTATTTAGTTTTTTTAATTTTTAAAATAACATGTTTTATCATCAATTTCAAAATAATTTAATCACATATAGAATTAAACAGTTTAAATAATAAAATATAATTACTTTTTACATAAATATGTAAGAATATCAATTATTTCTGAAAAAATAAAATCTCTAAAACATCTTATATAAAAATACGGAAATAATATAATATAATAATTATTTGTTAACTGAAGTTATATATAAAATATTATACTTGTACTTTAATTAGTAGATCCACCTTAATATGTGGCAAGTATCTTTTCGGGAGCAGTTGAACTACAAATAACAGATAATTTATTGTATTGGTTTTCTGCACCCTAATTTTTTTTGTTAAAATTCATTTTTTTAATTAGTTAATAATAAGAATTGATGATGGTGACAACTGAAAAAGTAGAAATCCCATAGATTCGAATGGCGATGTCGAAACTCGGAGATCTTCCAAAGGATTTAGTAGAGGATGAGATTCTGTGTCGCATTCCGGCTACGTGTCTGAAATGATTGGGATGTACTTGTAAACGATGGAACCGTTTGTTCAACGGTGATGAGAGATTCGCAAGAAAGAACGCTGACAAAGCGGCAAAGCAGTTTCTGGTTCTGATGTTGACGAGGGCCCACCGGATTTGTCTGACAACCGTCAATCTGGAAGGAACAGTTCCATCTGTAAAGGTCAATATGGTGGGTTTGTGGCTTTCAAATTATTCAGACAGAATACGTCGAGTGTTTCACTGTGACGATTTATTGTTATGCACTGTCGGAGACGAATCTAGGTTCGTGGTTTGGAACCCGTTGACTGGTGAAACCAGGTGGATCCAACCCAGCAAACGTGACAAGGAACGCTGCACCTATGTTTTGGGATACGACAACAATAAGAGCTACAAAGTCTTGAGCTTTAATTATTGTCGCAAAGATTATGAAATCTTCGAGTTCAGCTCTGATTCGTGGAGGGTTCTCGATGATATCATGGATCCAGGATGGAGCATTGGAGAAACTTTGACCAACATGTCTTTGAAGGGAAGTACCTACTGCTACGCGGAGCAGATAACAAAAACGCAAGTCAACCTGTCCTTGGCCAGATTTGATTTTGCAACAGAGAAATGTGTACCTGTGCCTCTTCCCTATCAGTGTACTGATGATTTTGAAGTTATGGGTCTTTCCGTTGTTAAAGGCGAGAAACTGTCGGTGTTATTACAGCTCGATGAAACATCCAAGGCTGAGGTGTGGGTGACAAATAAGATTGATGAGACCTCCCAAGTGGTATCCAAGTGGAGCAAGATCTTGGCATTGGATTTGAGTCCTGATCTTCAAGTTTTTCGGGATGTAACTTTCTTGCTCGACGAGGAGAAGAAAATCGTCGTGATTTGTGATAAGTGGCTTGACATGGAAGACCATTACAAGAGCAAAGACGTGATATACATTGTTGGAGAGGACAATGAAGTCACATAAAAGAATTTTGGAATAGATTCAAGTGAGGAAAGTAGAGTAGTTCTCTTTGAATATGTGCCAAGTTTGGCTCAAATCGAGCGAACTGGAGGCAAAAAGAAAAAAAAGTAACCTTTAACATGCAGGCAAAAGGAATAATCGTTTGAACTGATATTTAATAAGATGTGGTATTTTATCCAATGTTTCAAGATAAAATCTTGTCTAAAACTATGTCCAAAAATCCAAGCTTTTCAAGTTCAGTGACGAATCTGAATGGTTCATAAAACATATGCCTTCTAACCCAAGCTACATGTAATCTCTTCTTTCTTTCTGTTTTTTTTCTTTTTGTATTTCTCTTTATATATCATGGTCGTGTCCTTTGAACAATCGTTTGAACTGAGTTTTCTTTTGCACCCAAGTTACAAGCTGCAGAGCTAGAAATCATAACCCAAGTCACCTTTCAATTTGACGAGCACTGCATCTTCCTCTCATTTCACCTGTCTGCATAACAGTTAGCCATAGTGACTTGATCACAATGCAGCTGTAATTGCTCCCTATAAATCTTTTTCTGTTTGCTCTGTTTTCGTTTGTGTGGAAAGGGCATGAGTGCTCTGTAGTCTCTATACTATAGGCATACAATAAGAAGTGAGAAGAAGTATGTCAAAAACTGCCTGAGAGAATGATATCACTTTGCCTTTGATCATGGAAATTGGGTGAATTAAGTCGTTAGAATGTTTACTGAAAACCCTAAACATGGCAAATCTTCTTTGGTCGAGATTACGCTTTCTTTTAATTGTGTAATATACTCCCTCTGTTTCACAAAGAGTGTTATTATGACACTTTTCATACATATTAAGAAACTTAGTAAAAAAGTCTTTTATGTTCTTCATAAATACACTAAACAGTTTTCTCTTTCTAATTAATACACTAAAATAACAAGGTTAGAATTGGATTTTTAACTAAAAATTTGCATTGGAAATACAAAACGACACTTTTTGTGAAACAAAAATAAAACTCTAAAACGACACTCTTTATGAAATGGAGGGAGTATGTGTTTGCTTATTCCCCAATTCAGAGTAGATCCACATCGGTTTCCTACATTTCCTTCATCACAATATCCGACACGGTCCCGTTGTCCCCGACCAAGGACGTCTGTGTCTTTCGGTGATGACACATGTTCTGCATTCTCTGCTTCTTCTACAGTCGGAGACACTATGGTTGTGTTGGAGGATCATCAAGCCGTGTTTGGGGAGAATACTGCTTCCTATCGAACCCAATCTAGCACCACATTCAACGACTTCAGGCAAAGCACCAGGCATGCCCATACAAACAGGACAGATGCTTGTGTTCGGATAGACCCGTAATTCTCAGGGCAATTGCAAAATTCCTTCGTGAATGTCGAGAGCGGCACATGAGTCTCTATGCCGATTTCAGCTTCGTAATCTCTCAGAATCTCGTCAAGCTTGTTGCTTCCATGGTTTCTCGGTGCAACCCTCGATTCCGAAGGCTGTTTAACTTCATGGGGTCGTCCCTGTTTGGCTTCCACAAGCCCTCACGGAGAAGTTGTATGTAGAGTATTTAACATTTTTAATATATATATATTTATTGTGCATAAGATGATAATTACTACTATAAATTATAATTTGTATAGTTAGTTTTAATTAAAAAAACCAATTATAGTCATTGCAAGAAATATGAAATGGATTTTAAGACTTGCTTCTATATAGAACTCGCGACTCTAAAGTGAATATGTTGCGTATGAAAATTTAAAAAAAAAAATTTAAATAATTATAAATAAAATGCATAAAATAAAATTATGTAAATACCTTAAACAAATCTTTAAATAGAGAAAAAAGTTATTTGATGATCAATAAACTTCTCAGATTAAAGTTTAGGATGAAAACACGATGAATTAATAATAAACTCTATTCATTTTACTGTAAAAAATTTACTTGCTAAACATGCATATAAATAAAATAATGAAAATGATCAGAATTTTCTATTTTTTATAAAGTTGAAAAGATATAAATAGTAAAAATTCAATTTTTCCTAAAATAAGCAGTTATAAATGAAAATATATATAATGAATATTGAAAAGATATGAACTTTAATTACAGTTATGAAAAAAAATGAAAGGACGCAATCATATTAGACCGATTTTTCTCTTAAACTCGAATCAAACAGATAAAATGAGAAACTAATAAATAGATAAAACTGCAAAAGCAGAATGAAGAAAAAAACATTTTTGCTTTAAATTTTGTAGCAAATTTTAAATTGGAAATAATATATCATTTTTAAAAGTAATTCGATTTTTTTTTAAATTAAAAATAAAACATAATCTTAAAAAGTATAACTACTATTTTGAGAAAAAACAATTAATAAAATAAAACCATTACAATATCAAAAAGAAAACGAGATAAATTAAAAGGAAAAAAAATCAAGTGTTATTAAGAAAAGGAAAATTTAAAAGAAAAAGTAAATACTAATCCTAAAAGAAAAATGAAACTATTATTCACCTCTTCATAAACACATAAAATCTCTTATAATTTTACTATACTGATTTCTCTCTGAAATTCGAATCAATCGGATAATACGAAAAACTGATGAAGCTACTGAAAACAATCAAAATTATGTAAGCAGAATGAAGAAGAAAGTCAATTTTACTTTAATACCATTTTAACAAATGAGTTTTTTGATGAGAGTTTGTGAGAAAGAAATCAAATTTATGAAAATTTATAAAAGTAAACATAGAATGAAGGCAAAATACAGTTTTTTATCTGTTTTTTTATAAGTGCTTTTGCGAAATTATTCCAAGTCTTATTTTTTTATATTCACAGTGATATGATTTTGTTTTATATTTTCATGTTCAGTCATATTTGTGAAAAATATAAAAGTAAACATATAATAAAAAAGAAAAACAGTTTCTTTAATTTGTATTATAAGTGGTTTTGCGAAGATATTCTCAATCTTACATTTTTATGTTCAGAGTGAATTAATTTTATTATATACTTTTTCGTGTACTATTTATTCTTAACGGATTATGTAATAGTTAATTATAAACTAATGTATATAGAGATCAAAGTCTAAGTTAAAATGATTGAAATGTATGTGAGTCAATAAATTAAAATTTACCACATGTAATAGTTATTTTAATTTTAAAAATAAAATATAAATTAAAAAATAAATATAATTAAATCTATTTTTTCAATTTATCTTTTATGAGTTTTAAAACAATTTTTAAATCTATGTATGCGCAGGTCCTAATCTAGTATATATATATATATATATATATATATATATTCAATTTTGCAAGTTGTTTTGCAATAATGTTAATGAATTTGGAAGAGAAAGTCCTTAAAATAACATAAAAACTATTTTTCTTTCCAACAATAACTCACACGCTAAATATCTTCCATCTGGTACATATTTGACTACTATGATTACTACATTGTCTTTAGTTAAATAAATATTAATCATTTGCTTTTTTTTTTCTAGTCTACATTCTTTCTCTTTTTCTTTTTTTTTTTTTCTTTTTTTGTTTCTTTTTCTCTTAACTTTTCTCATTCCTTTGTGAGAATTTATTCTCCTTCTTTCCTCTCTTCTCTTTTCTCTTTTGAATTCTCTTCACTCCTGATAACCAATGACAAATTTTAATGACAGTTTCTGGTGATGAGATCCAACAACAACGATTTTGAATCGTGATCATTTTTCGGGATTGATATCGAAGAAATAGATCGTTTCAGATCTGATTTAGATATCATATTTATTCTTCTCTACTACCATAAGATCTACTACCGGCAATAAATCTGGTATAGAGGACTCCAACCTGGCTGAAAAAGCTGATACAGAGAGGGGATGAGTCATATTTCAATGTGATATAGTTATTAGATTTTCGAACTTGGAAAAAATTAAAGATTTTGGGTATAGTTTGGTTCTGAAAAATCTTTAAGAAACTTACCTGAATACTTTTGATGTATGTCTTACATATATTTAGGATTTTTAAAATTTTAAGAAAATTTTTCTAAATCGTATGAAACGAAAAACTTTTCTAAATCATAGAAAAATATTTACTTAAAAATCATATATATATATATATATAAAGACCTTCTTATAAAATTAGGAAAACTTTCCTGAATTGGGAAAGCTTTTGAAAATTTAGGAAAATTTTTCTAAATCATATGAAACAATGTTAGATTTTAGTGTTCATTAAAACTTTGTTAAAAATTCATGAAACATCGATAGAAAAAAATATATATTCAGGAAGATCTTTTTAAAGAGCAAAATAAGAAAAAATAAATGAAAAATGGTAAAGTTGAAAAAATTTTAGTTTTCCTATTATTTTTTAGCTAAAAAATTCTTTTAAAGGTAAATATGAAAGATCAAAATTTATAAAATAAAAAATTATTTCTTTTTTTAAACTGAAAATATGTAATAATAACATATGTAAAAAAATTTTTTTTTTTTTTAAACTGAAATTTTTTTTTTTTTTTTAAAACTGAAAAGTACACCGCTAGATTTCGTATCCGATCCCACTCTGCCGCTCTCCAATGGCGATGTCGATATCTATCCACCGAGATCTTCCAGAGGATTTGGTAGAGGATGAGATTTTGTGTCGCGTGTCTGAAAGGATTGGGGTGTACCTGTAAACGATGGAACCGTTTGCTCAACGGTGATGGGAGATTCGCAAGAAGGCACATCGAGAAAGCGGGAAAGCAGTTTCTTGTTCTGATGTTGTCGAAGGACTACAGGATTTGTCCGACAATTGTCAATCTCGACGGAGCAGTTCCATCTGTAGATGTAAAAACTGAGCTTAGCCTGGTCGATCCGCTTTCAAAGGATTCAGGTCAATTCGATGTAAGTGAAGTGTTTCACTGTGAAGGCTTCTTGTTATGCACCATCGAAGACTATTCCAGATTCGTGGTTTGGAACCCGTGTACTGGTGAAACCAGGTGGTTACAACCCAGAAAAGCTGACACGAGACACCGCACCTTTGTTCTTGGATACTACCAAGAAGGCAGCAAGAAGAGCTACAAAGTTTTGAGCAATGATGCTTTTAGAAAAAATTATGAAATCTACGAGTTCAGCTCTGATTCGTGGAGTATTCTCGATGATATCGTCCCTCCAGGCTGTAGCATTGGATACAAGGGGGCAGGAGCAGGGTGTCTTTGAGCCGTGATGTTCAAATTTATGATGATGCAAGTTTCTTGCTCGACGAGGAGAAGAAAGTCGTCGTGATTTCTGAGAGGTGGCTTGACTTCGAAGACGAGACCGAGACCTGGGGCAAAGACGTGATATACATTGTTGGGGAGGACAATGAAGTCACAGAAACGGATTTTGGAATAGATATAACTGAGGGACCTGCGAAACCTATTCTTAATTATGTGCCAAGTTTGGCTCAAATTGAGCGAGCTCGAGGCAAAAGGAATAATCGTTTGAACTGATATTTAATAAGATGTGGTATTTTATCAAATGTTTCAAGATAAAATCTTGTCTAAAACTAGAAATCATGATTTGTTTCATATGTCTTCTTCTTTGTCTCTTATCTGAGTTTTCTTCTTCACCCAAGTTTCAAGTTGTACAGCTAGAAATCAACCCAAGTCATCTTTCAAGTTGAGCAAATAAATAAGAGAGAGGCATAAATTGTCACTGCTGCTATTTGACCAGCACTGCATCTTCCTCTTGTTTCACCTGTCTCCATAACAACATTAACAGTTAGCCACATTCCACAATGAGTTGATCACAATATAGCTGTATTAATCTCTTATGTTTGCTCTGTTTTCGTTGATGTGGAAGCGCTTGAGTAAACAATTTAGGCAAAAAAGTTGCTACTTTCCCTCATCTTGAAACTATTGGAAGTGCTCTCTTTGCCTCCTCCTTCATATGACTCATCGAACCACCTCCTCTGTTTTAGTATCCTCATCTCACTATCTTGACCTAGAATTCAAATAGAACCCTATTTTTGCAAGAAGGAGGCTCTTTGACACTCCTCTGCTTTTCTTTCTTTTTCTTCTCTTGTTATATTTAGCTACTGAAATGGAAGCGGGGGATTATTGGAGACCGGAGTTCGGTTATTCAGGAGACCAGATTAAGCATCTTATGGCCGTTAGTATCATAGGGAAAACGCTTGGTGGACTTATCTTCATCTATGGCAGCTTCTTTGGAGCTTTCCTCCTGGTACTAACTCTAAATCTTGTCTGCTTTACCAAAATTACAAGGATTCAAGAGAACTATTGTAAAGAAAGCCTGAAATGTTAAAACCCTATCACCAACTTTAATTAAAGCATGATATAACTAGTTAACGAATTAAATATAAATTAGTTAAATGAGAAATGCTATGCGATTCTTTATGTATCACGTAAAAGTTATATATAGATCTCTCGGTTTCATGCCAAATGAACCTGTTTCCTTGTGGTTATATATATAGCTTCTGCACCAAGGTATTGCTACAATGATACATCATGATTTCTACAGCCATCGTATCGACATTGAAGAATTAGGATTGCTTTATCTCAAATTTAAAAAGGGTAATAACAACATCTATTTCTTCCCTTTTCAGTTGGTTTCTTTCGAACATCATTTTTGTTTTGCTTATTTTTTTTTTTGTCTCCGGTTTTTTTTTAATTAGATCCTGAACGGTGTCGTACGATGCCACACAAAACTTCTACAAAAACTTTGACGAGCAGCAAAATTGAGAAAGCCATATCAAAATTCCGTGAGGTGCGCTTTCTTGAGGCCTAATATGTTTAGATTGTGAAATCTTTGTGATAATCGATTCTAATGTGTTTTTTTCTTTTCTTTTTTTAGATCCTGAACGAAACGATGTCGTACGATACCGCAAACAGTTTCTACAAGTCAAACTTTGACGCGCAGCAAGTTGAGCAAGTCATCAAAATTTCGTGAGGTGCGTTCCTGAGGCATATGTGTAATATGTATAGATTGCGTATTCTTTGTGATGACCAATTATAATGCGTGTTTATGTAGCTTGCGGGCCACGCAGTTACAAACCCTGCCTGAGCATTGCTCTTTTTCTTGACTATAAAGCACAAACTGAACGAAGCCAAGACGGAATCCAAAGTTAAAACTGACTGAAACTAAGCCTATCTCTATTTACTCTTCTTTACAGATTTCAGTGAGATTCCTTGTTGTCTTTATGTGTTAATCTAAATATTGAATCATCTTCTTTGCTAAGGAACAAACGTTCTATCTCTCTCTCTCTCTCTCTCTCTCTCTCTCTCTCTCTCTCTCTCTCTCTCTCTCTCCATGTTGTTTACTTCTCATTCACGTTTCTGTGATTTTCCGTTCACTCCACATAGTTTCAAAGTCATCCTCAAGCTCACCATTCTTATCTATTTTCTCATGCATACTAAATGTTCCATTCCTCCGTTATGGGATCAATTATTATTTGTTTTCTATATACAAAACGAATCAAATATTATTTGTTTTCCGATCATTAAAAGAACTAAAACAAATAATAATTGATTAAAAAAAAAGAAGACTAATTTTCTTAATAATTGATCAAAAGAAGAATAACTATAATTAAAACAATCAATTATTATGTGTCGAAAATTTATAAATAATGAAGAATTTTGAAAGATCGAATTTTATAAAGTAAAAGGATTATTTGTTAAACTTCCTATTTCACTATATATTACAAGTACCAGATAACTTACTTAAAAAGATATTGCATTGGTTTTCTGCACCCTAAAATTATTTGTTAAATTTTTTTTTTTTATCTGAAAAAGTAGAATCCCATAGTCGTATGGCGATGACGGTATTCAGAGATCTTCCAAAGGATTTGGTAGAGGATGAGATTCTGTGTCGCATTCCGGCTACTTATCTGAAAAGATTGGGATCTACTTGTAAACGATGGAACCGTTTGTTCAATGGTGATAAGGGATTCGCAAGAAAGCACACTGAGAAAGCGGCGAAGCAGTTTCTGGTTCTGATGTTGACGAGGACCCACCGGATTTGTCCGACAATCGTCAATCTAGACGGAACAGTTCCATCAGTAGAGGTAAAAACTGAGCTTAACCTGGTGGGTTCGTCGCATTCAAATTATTCAGACAAAATATGTCGAGTGTTTCATTGTGACGGCTTGTTGCTGTGCACCCTCGGAGACGAATCTAGATTCGTGGTTTGGAACCCGTTTACTGGTGAAACCAGGTGGTTCCAACCCAGCGAAAGGGACACGAGAGGCCGCACCTTTGTTCTCGGATACTACCAAGAAGGCAACAAGAAGTGCTACAAAGTCTTGAGCTTTGATTCTTGTCGTAAAGATTATGAAATCTACGAATTCAGCTCTGATTCGTGGAGGGTTCTCGATGATATCATGGAACCAGTATGGAGCACTGGAATCTTTGATACCAACGTGTCTTTAAAAGGAAGTACTTACTGCTACGTTGAAAATAGAACAAAAACGCAAGTCAACCTGTCCTTGGCCAGATTTGACTTTGCAACAGAGAAATGTGTACTTGTGCCTCTTCCTTATCAGTGTAGTAAGAATTTTGAAGTGGCAGGTCTTTCCGTTGTTAGTAACGAGAAGCTCTCGGTGTTATTACAGCGCGATGTTAGATCCAAGGCTGAGGTATGGGTGACAAATAAGATTGATGAGACTTCCCAAGCGGTGTCGTGGAGCAAGCTCTTGGCATTGGATTTGAGACCTGATGTTCAAATTGTTGAAATGAAACTTTCTGGCTCGACGAGGAGAAGAAAGTGGTCGTTGTTCTTGAAACTTTCTGGCTCGACGAGGAGAAGAAAGTGGTCGTATTTCTTCTTGTATCGTAGATGAGAGCCAAACTTTAAGGCCAACCAAATTCTTGTAGAAGAAGTTCCACCTACAAGAGTAGAATGAAACCATAAAATCAAAAGTTTGGCTTGTCATTCTTAAATCAAGTTAATTAATGTTTTCTACTAAAGTTTAATAAGTTCCTATCCTCATGACGACCGTAATGTATTTCTATTTCATTACAATCTTGCGATAACTGCAAGAGAATTTTGTAAAAATAACCCATAAATTCAAATCAATTGCTAAACTAGTCTCCCATTTTACCATTTTTGAAATTAACCACTTTATCTCACTTATATTCTTATCAGTTCTATTTATTCACGAAAATACCATTAGATTATTGTTTTTTATTATTATTTCAGAAATCTATTTTACCAAACAATCCTCATCTTTCTCACTTATTCACGAAAATACCATCACCATCAATTCATTCAACCACCATTTTCAACCAATTTGAAGCTTTTATTGCTTCAAAGACCCATTTTTTAGCTTTGTAACCTCATTTCTTCTTCTCTTAACTTTCTACTCTTTCATTTTTTCACCATTTTCAGCACAAAAACTCTCTAATCTAAATTTTTGAAACTTGATGTTTTAATATATTGCCATATTTGGTGATTTGGTCTGGCAAATCGTCTGGGCTTGTTTGGTGGTGGCTGGAATCAAAGAAATTGGTAGTTGAATAAGTTAAATACCACTGGTATGTGATTTTTCAGTCAATTTTTGTGAGTTTTCAGATCTGTGCCGCGAAAGTAGACTTCTTAAGAAGTCTACTGTCGGTAGTAGACTTCAAAAGAAGTCTGCTGGTCAACACACAGGTTAGTTTTGCAATTGACCGGGTGTACCAATTTCTGACAGTAGACTTCAGTTGAAGTCTGCGCGATTTCCTTTGACAATAAAAAAAAATAGTGTAAACTTCAAAAGAAGTCTACGTAAAAAGGGGTTAGTTTTGCAATTGACCAACCTTTGACTTTTTCGTAAGAAGTCTACTCGCAAAAGTAGACTTCTTCGGAGAAGTCTACTTTGAACTTAAACTTCTTAGAGGTTAGTTTTGCAATTGACCAATGTTGACTTTTTTGAGTAGACTTCGCTTGAAGTCTACTTTTTCGAGTAGACTTCGTTTGAAGTCTACTTTCTGAGTAGACTTCAAAAAAAGTCTACTCGAAAATAAATTCAATGTTTGGTCAACCCCAAATCTAACCCAAGTAGACTTCGTTTGAAGTCTACATTGAAAAGTCAACATTGGTCAATTGCAAAACTAACCTCTAAGAAGTCTACTTTAAAGGTAGACTTCTCCGAAGAAGTCTACTTTTGCAAGTAAGACTTCTTACAAAAAAGTCAAAGTTTGGTCAATTGCAAAACTAACTTTTTTTTACGTAGACATTTCGAGTAGACTTCTCGGAGTGAGTAGACTTCTTCAAGAAGTCTACTCATCTTTTGGCAATTGCAAAAGTAACATAAAATATAGACTTCATACGAAGTCTACTTTTGTAGACTTCATTGCAAGTCTACTTTTGCAAACTTCGTTGTTAGTCTACTATTTCATTTTTTTTATAAACGCGTTTTTATCAAATTTACAATGAATTATTAAGATTTTTTTGGTCTCACGATTGTTTTAGTAAGTGTACTTACATTTGTATTAGTTTTACATGTTTATATTATATATATATTTGGTGAAATCAAGTTTTTTGTTTTATTTGATATTTAGCTTATTAGTCTGTAGACTTCGTTTGCAGTCTGCGATATTAATTTTTTTATTAAATTAATTGATCAGATATTTGTAACAAATAAAATTTATTCTTTGACTCTTACATGTGTATTATTTATTATTCTTACTTACGTAGGAGTTTGACATGTTTATTTGTTATAGTTTAACTTTAATTAATTTTCTTGTTCTCATTGGTATTTAGCTTATTAGTCTGTAGACTTCACTTGAAGTCTACATAGTAGACTTCATTTGCAGTCTGCGATATTAATTTTTTATAAATTTAATTGATCAGATATTTGTAACAAATAAAATTTATTATTTGACTCTTAAGTGTGTGATATTTATTGTTCTTGCTTATGTATGAGTTTGAATTTTTTTTATTACAGTTTAGCTTTAACTAATTTTCTTCTTTTATTTGGTATTTAGCTTAATAGTCTGCATACTTCATTTGAAGTCTACATAGTAGACTACATTTGCAGTCTACTTTTTCAACAATGATTTCTAATGTGGTTTGAATTTTGTTTTCTTACAGAGAATGGTTCACATACCCTCTCTTTATTGAGAATGTGTGAAGAAAGACTAGTTGTGGTATTTCTAAGTAGTTTTACATTTTTTTTGTTCTGAGTTTTACATGTTTTGTATAGTTAAATTGAATTAATTTTCTTGTGTTATTAGAGGTTCAAAGATGGTGATGACTAAGTCTGACAAAGAAGTCTGCATATGAAATCTGAATATGATAAAACACACATAATTTAAGAATATATAAAAATAACATTAATTGCAATCCAACTTTACATATAAAGCAGACCTTCTAATCAAACAAACATTTAAGGATCACTAAATATAAAAACAAAATGTCTGAAATAGATATATGTGACTGAAGTCTGCTCGAAAAGTCTGCTCAAGAAGTCTACTAGAGAAATCTGCAGCTGAAGTTTGCTTCCAACAAAAACAAAAGAGAAATAAATAAGCTCAGGTCTGCACAATAAGAAAAAAAAATGTTAAAATTCACATTTCAACAAAATATGCTATATTTACAAACATCATATCTGCAGCAAAAGAGAAAAAAAAAAGAAATCAGCTATGCAACAAAAAAAATTATAGACCTGCAACAAAATAAACAAAATTCAGATCTGCAACAAAATAAACAAAATCAGATCTGTAACAACTAAAAATTCAGATCTACAAAAAAAAAAAAAAATCATATCTGCAACAACAAAAAATCAGATCTGCAACAAATTCTACAAAATTTATACCATAAGAAGCGCATATTTGCAAGAATAAACTCAGATCTACAACAAGAAGCTCAAATATGTAATAATAAACCCAGATTTACAATATGAACACAAAACAAACAACAAAAGAAACAGAAAACCTCAGATTTGCTTACCATCACCATAATTGAGATAGAGAGGATGGAGGATAGAGATGGGTTTGATGGCAAGAGAGGAAGGAGAAGAGATTCATGGCCAGAGAGGAGGTAGAGGAGAGAGAGGCATTTTTTAGAGGGAGAAAAAAACTTTATTTTTAACCCAATTAGGTTAATCTCCTTATATATGTAGGAAAATTTTCGGTTAAGTAGATTCCTTTAGAAGTCTACTAGAGAAGTCTACTCGAAAAGTCTACTTCGGTATATTTTTTCAATTTTGATTCCCGCCTAATTTGTTCCGATTCCCACCCAATTTGTTAAATAATTTTGATTTTCCGCTATGTTTTTTTTAAGTCTACTGGAGAAGTCTACCCGAGAAGACTACTGCATACGTATGTTTTCTGTAGTAGACTTCTTTAGTAGACTTCTAAGGGGTTGTATATTTTCTAGTTAATTTTCTTTCTGCATTTAAGTTGATTCATTTGTTTGAAATTTTGTATTCTATACATGTCAAATATATATGTCTTACTTATGTTTACCAATTTTTTAGAAATTTATTTATTTTATATTTTCTAATTAATTTTTAAAAAACTAATTATGTAGTAGACTTTTTTTGAAGTCTACAACGATTGTAGACTTCTTACGTAGACTTCTAGAAGGATAAAATCGTAACTGTGGCAGACGTTTTATGTTTAGTTACAAAGGACTGAGCTGTAATTTCACTATTCTTTTGGGTTAGTTTTGCCAAACATTCAATAAGAGGTCTACATATTGAGAAAAAACAACTTTTAGGTTATAAAGAGAAATTTCCTCTAAATGCAAAAGGCTTATTCTCTACCTTCTTTCTCTTTAACATACTTTGGTATATCTTTTCCTTTGAACAAAAGTTTCTTTTCGGTATATCTTTAAGAACACAATATTATATTCTCATTTGTCACGTTTCTGTGATTCCCCGTCACTCCAGTCTCCTCCACATACTTTTACAGTCATTCTTATCAATTTTCCCATGCATAGTAAATATATCTCACTCTTCCTCTATATAATTTGTGTTTTCAATGATTGAAGAAGATATTTTGTGAAAGCCCTTTGTCAAAAAAAAGGAAGAAGATATTTTGTTTACATTTTAGATCTAGACATATGTTTGTTCATTTGAGAGATCCTAATTTCTGTTTTGCAGTTTTCATCAAGTTTTATCAAATTTGACATTCTTGTAAAAAACTTAAAACATTCAAAAGTTTTGCAAAGTAACAAAGCATAAAATTATGGGATTCTTGCAAAAATGACCTAAAATTTGATTTGAATTGCAAATCTAACCTACAAAAATCACTTTCTCAATATTTGCCATTTTGTGTCCAAACAATCCTTCATAGTTTCAGATATTCACGAAATTGCCATTATTTTTAATTAATTTTTTTTATTTTCGTAAATCCAAATGACCAACTAATCCTCATTTTCCTCACTTATTTACGAAAATGCTCCGAAAGTAGACTTCTCTCGGTCTGAATGAAGTCTACTAGTCAATGCCCAGGTTAGTTATGCAATTGACCGCATGAAAAAGTAGACTTCTTTTGGTCCGAATGAAGTCTACTCTATTTCCTTTGATAACAAAAAAAATGGAGTAGACTTCTCGAGTAGACTTCTTTAGAAGCAGGTCATTTTTGCAATTGACCAACCTTTGACTTTGTAGAGTAGACTTCTCTATGCAAAGTAGACTTCTCGCAGGTCATTTTTGCAATTGACCAAAAAGTCAAATATTTTGCAATTGCAAAAATGACCTGCGAAAAGTCTACTTACGAAAGTAGACTTCTCTGAGAAGTCTACTTTTCATAGAGAATTCTACTAATATTTTGACAATTGCAAAACTAACCTGCGAGAAGTCTACTTTTATCCGAGAAGTCTACGTTTCTTGTTTTTAAAAAAAAATCATTTTTATACAATATATAACGAATTTTTAAGATTTTCGTGATCCTAAGCTTCTGTTATTAAGTTTTTTTGCTTATGTATAAGTTGTGCATGTTTATATTTTATAGGTATAGTCGAATGAGTTTTCATGTTTTTTATGATACTTAGCTTATTAAGAGTAGACTTCTTAGTCTACTCTATTCTACTCTAGAAGTCTACTATGTAGACTTCATCCGACTTTCAGAGAAGTCTACTTATGCAATTTTAATGTCTAATGTGGTTTGGATTTTGTTCTTTTTTCACAGAGTGGCTCACATACCCGCTGTTTATGGAGAATGGGTTAAGAGTGAATCAATGTGGCAGTTCGAGATGGATAATAGCAAAGGAGGTCGAATGTTGTTCTTAAGAGATGGTTGCACACATGGTGAGCTTCTTGGTGAATGTTGGCAAAGGATGGCGAATAGCAAAGGAGGGCGAATGTTGTCACCTTTAAGTTATGTAAAATTAATGTCTTTAAGAAGACTACTCGAGATAATGAGAAGTTTACTTCAGAAGTCTACTCGAGACAAGAGAAGTCTACTCGGTTGACAAGTTATATGATATAAATGAGAGAAATGTCCCTTTGAATCACTTTTAAGTTATGTAAAATTAATGTCTTTTAGAAGTCTACTCGAGACATGAGAAGTTTACTCGAGACAGGAGAAGTCTACTCAAGACAAGAGAAGTCTACTCGGTTGACAAGTTATATGATATAAATGGGAGAAACGTCCCTCTGGATCACTTATAAGTTATGTAAAGTTAATGTCTTTAATAAGTCTACTCGAGATAGGAGAACTCTATTTTGTAGAATAGATAAACATAGATAATTTAGGAATTTGATACAAAATATTTAATGCAATTCAACATTTCATAGAAAATAACCCTCTAAACAAACAAACATTTAAGGATCACTAGTTATAAATCTTAAAACTAGCATAAGAAATTACTAGTAAACTAAAATCTCTGAAAATTATGTATGCAACTGAAGTCTACTTGAGAAGTCTACTCGAGATCGAGAAGTCTACTCGAAAAGTCTACATTCAGATCTGCAAAAAAAATCAACAAAATTCAGCTCTGTAACAATAACAAAAAATTTAGATCTGGAACAAAATCTATAAAATTTATATAACAATAAACTCAGATCTACAAATATAAACTTAGATCTACAATAATAAGCTCAAATCTAAACTAATAAGCTCGGATCTATAATAATAATCTACTATATTTATAACATTCAGATCTGTACAAAAATCAACAAAATTCAGCTCTGCATTAATAACAAAAAATTAACAAAATCTACAAAATTTATACAACAATAAACTCAGATCTACAAAAATAAACTTAGATCTACAACAATAAGCTCAAATCTATAATAATAAGCTCAGATTTGCAATATGAACACAAAGCAAACAAAAAGAAGAACACAAAAGCTCAGATTTGCTTACCACTACCATAACCTGCAAGTGAGAGGAGGTTGAATGCAAGATAGAGAGGATGGAGAGGATATTGATAGCAAGAGAGGAAGGAGAAGAAATTCATGACCAGAGAGACGGGAGAAGAGAGAGAGAGGCGTTTTTTTAGATAGAGAGAAACTTTATTGTTATTACAATTAGGTTAAAGTAAACTCTCCTTATATATGTAGAAAAAAATTTGTGTAAGTAGACTTCTCCAAGAAGTCTACTCGAAAAGTCTAATCGAGAAGTTTCTTAGTATTGATTTTTATCTTAATTTATCTATGATGATTTAAATTGATTATTTTTTGTCAAATTTTATTTTTAATAGGTGTAAAAATTATATATTTGTTGTTATGTATCTAATTTTTTTTTTATCAAATTATCTTTTAGTTAAACATGCAATAAGAGGTCTAGTTTTACATTTTAACTCAAGTTTTGAGTCATATTCAGCAATTGCCCCTAAAATTATTAATAATATTTAAGATTAAACTACTAAAGAGAAGATAAAATAAGAATTTAAAAAACAAGCATACGGTGTCGACTTGGGGATTGGGAATGGGGATGTTTGTTCAAGTACATCATGTCTACCAGCTGAGATGATATTTACAAATCATAAATAACAAAATGTGTATAAAGCGACATATTTAATTTGTTGGCAATCTTTTCTTTTTCTTCACAAATTTGAGGTATTCAAAACAAATAATAAACTTAAAAAAAAAATGGTAACCGGTTAACCAGATAACCAGACCTTGCATATTGTGACATAAATATATTCATATGACAAGATTATCTTCAGCATCTCTCTTCACGTTCTAGCTAGCTTGTTAAAATTCAACCAAATGAATTTTTTTTGTTCTATATTATTTAAAAAAAAATGTTCTTTCTGTTTTTGAGTTTATTTTTGGTAGATTCACGACAAGTAAAAACGAATTCGGATCTGTAGCATTAAAAATATCAACTTCTAACCAGTCAAACTACTCGAATAATAATAATAATGATTCAGAGGTATAATAATATCAACCTTATACAAGTCAATGTCAAAATAACAAGTTGTACTATTGTAGGCAATGAGAATTCTGACATAAAGATTTTTTATTTTCATAGTAGGTATTTTATTATTCGTCCTTTATTATAATACAGATACTACCTATATAGTTTGTATAATCAATTGCTAAATCATTTAGTCGTCTCATCGGTGATCATCATCTTCTTTCTTAGTAAACTCTCTTTGTCTGTCTCGTACTTCTAAACGCAAATACAGATATACGATTTTTGTTCTTTCTTAATTTGAGAAAATATGGAGAAAATGTTGTATTTTATGCATGCCGGTCGACTTGTCTTCGCATTTGCGCTCGTCGTGTCTGCTTGGAGAGAGTAAGCTAACATCAAAATATTAGATCTAGTTGATATATATTGTTTTTTTTGTAACAGATTTTACTGAAATTTATTGTTGTTTCTTCAAGTTAATGATTTTTTTTATTTTATGTGCGTTTTTTTCTTTTCTTCTTAAGGTATAATCTTGAAGGTACTTGGAGGGTATTTAGCCTTAATGGTGAAGTAGCTGCCGAGGAGTACAAAGTTGGTCTTGGTATAATGATGAAGGTATTTGGAAGGATATTATACCAAATTGTTGATTAAAACAAAACTAATTCAGTTTATATTGATAATAATCTTGGCAGGCAAAATACATAATTGGTCTTGGTATATTGATAAAGTTATTCGGAGGGATATTTTTCATCTTCAGCACCTACCTCGGAGCTCTGCTCTTGGTATATTAATTTACATCATTTTCTTTTTGTTATCTTTAAACTTGAAATAACAAACCAAAGTACTAAACTCTTGCATATGGTTTGATCTTAATTAGCTTATACACCAAGCAATATTGAGCCCCATTTTGTATGATCTCTACGATCGGGATTTTGCAAGATTTCGAGAATCATATAAACATTTTGCACAAATAGCTCAAAGCTGTAAGTAATTAACCAGATCCATGGATATTAAACTGCAATAACTAATAGAGTCATATGTAGGTAATATCGATAATATATAATTATAACTCAACTGAAATTTATGATTAGCTTGTGGAGAAATGGGTGTTAGCAACGTAGTCCACCGGAAATTATGCGATAAAATCAGCAAGGTAACAAATCTAACTAACAATTAATACTTCACTACGTAAGCAACCCGATCCAAGACTTAAAACTGTAATAATCGACATGTACTTTTAATTACTGTTGATTATATATATAAGTATATAACACAAGTGAAATGTATGAATAAGAACGTGAACGGGACGTCATCAACAGATAATCACGATCTTGCGGCCATGTGCTACTATGACTCCATAGCTCAAGAAGAATGGAGACAGATATTCTGCGATCAACTTAACGAGGTAATCAAATCTCATTAACAATTAATTATTTACCTCACTATATTTTTCATAACCTTCTTGGTTATGTTTTTGCAGACTTTGAGACTAGCCAGCTCGAATCCTCTATTCATACAGAGCAAGTTTAACACAATTTTCATGCCGTTCATTAAGGTATATGATAACTTGCAACAATTTTTTGATTAACATTAAATCAACAATTTAGACACAAAAATATCTTAAAAAACTGAAACTAATCGTCTCTTATTTTCAGCGTGTTGGAGTAGTAGCTGTGTTGGTGTTCTTTATTGCGATGGAACATAAGTATAGGATGCTCAAGAAGCACAAAACTAATTGAGCCAATATGATCGGCTTCATCACTTGTGTCTTAAACAAAGGAGGGATCTCCTTTTTTCAATAGTTTTGTTTGTCAGATCCTTAATGAAACGTTATCATACTACAATATCTACAATTTCTACAAATTAGACCTTGACCAGCAGCGAAATGAGAAAAGTCAAATCAAAGTTCCGTGAGCTGCGTTATTGCAGCCTATAATATGTCATTTTAATTAATTCTGAGATAAAGATTAGTCAATTCCTCATAGGTGTATTATTCTTCCTCCTTCTATAAGATGACATAACCTATAGTTTGTGTATTTAATTATCCAATCATGTACTATCTAGTCTTGTCCTTTGTGATACAAGCACCGCAATATTTTCCGTCCTAGCAAACTCTATTTAAACACACATAGATAGATATACGATTAATAATTTTTCCTAATTCACGAAATCATGGAGAAACCCCCAAAAAACAGTGGAAAAGGTTCAGAATATGTCGTATCTTGATTATGCACGCCGGACGACTTGTGTTCGCATCTGCGTTCATCTTATCTGTCTGGAGAGTATCATATTTCAATAAAATATATTAGTGTTATTTCTTCAAGCTATTTTTCATGGTTTCTTTTGTCACTTAATTAAGCTATCATGGATCCGATCTTAATGGTGGAGTAGCGGTCAAGGAGTTAAGACCAAAACTTGGTTTCTTTGAGAACCAGGTGAACATTTATTATACCAAAGTGTGAACGAAACAAAACGGAAAACATTCTCCAATTTAATTTTTTTTTTTAATATTTCTACATGTAGGACGCTGAAAATCTCTTATAAATTTGTTTTCATTAGTTTGCATCATTCTTCTTTAATCTTATAATTAAAAAGGAATAAATTGTGTGATAAGTGTCAAAGAAAAGATAATGACTTGGCAGCTTAAATGGTAAAATGATTGGTTGAAGAGAAGTCAGGAAAGTTGACTAAAGACTGAAGCTTGAAGCTACATTCGGTTATTAGTTTCTTATGGAAGAAAATATACAGTAGAATAGGTATTGCGTATGTGCAATTCTCTGATCGTATGTGATCTTGATCATCTTCTGTAATTCTTGTATTACATTTGATTTCAGTAAAGAGTTTGGGATCTCAAATCCTATCATTGGTGCGGTGAAACTGATACGAATCCATCGCGACGAAGCTGAAATTCGGTGATTCGATTCATCGGAGAGGACGATTACTTGTTTGGAGGGAGAGGAATCGACAACGATTGGTCAAAGGTATAACGATTGCTTAGTTCTGACGGAGATGAAGTGACGGCGAATGTCTCGCGGAGGGAGACAGAAGCGAAGTTTACAGGAATCAATGGGAAATTAGCAGATTTTGATGACAAGCTGACTTCAATCTTACAGCTGTTACAACAAGCAGCTTTTCATGGCACGACATCGGAGAAGCCAAGAACAGCCCCACCACATCCGCGTATCAGTAATCAGGTACAAGGCAATAATCTGGAACAGAACCTGGGAAATCCATCATTAGGTTATCGATCTGGTTCTCTGAATGTTGCGAATAATAATAATATGCAACACAATTCTGAGTTGCTAATGTTCGATAAAACAAATCCTATATGTTGGATTGAGAATGTAGAAAAATTCTTCAACAATGGTGGATATGACGATGAGGAGAAATTAGAAATGGTTGCTTTGAGTTTGGAAGAAAAAGTGAAAAAATGGTTTGCTTGGGGATGGAAGAGGAAAGCTTTTCGAGATTGGTCTAGCTTCAAAGAAAAGTTTATCTTGAGGTTTGGAGAATCACGGAGAAAAGTTGTTTCTGAGACAGAAATGGTACAAACCACAAACTCACCAATTATTGAAGAAACTAGTGAGAAGTCTGAAGCATTTGTGGGGATTGTGACTAGTCTTGAACCAAGTTCTGTGGATACGCCTTATGAGTTAGATCAAGAACCAGTGTTGATTACAGAAACCGTTCACATTGGGTTGAAGCGAGAGTTATTTTCGATGGTGATGACAAAAACGCCGATGAACTCCATAGATGTGAAGACGAATTTACTGGTTCTGGCGATTGACATAAGAGAGTCAGGATTATCTTTTAGCAATGTTAGATTGATGGAACCTCTAGAATCTACGCAAACTCAACTCCAGAATGAATCGATTGCTGTTTCTGAGAAATAAGTGGTGACAAAGACAACATCACCAACTATGGATGAAGATTCTGGGAACTTTGGTGATTTTCCAATAGAAAGTTATTCTCCTCGAGCAATAATGCTCAAGCAAAGCAAGTATCCTAAAACTTAGCGATTAAAGTTTAAAAACATGCAAACGTCTTTTATGAGGAGTTAATGAAATTGTTTTATGGGACAACCAGTGCTAGGCTGTTGGGAAGTTACAAGCTGCAAAGCAACATAGCTTTTATAATGAAGTGGAAAGGGTACAAGTTTCGGAAGAAGAAGAAGAGGACTAAGCGTTCTAAGTCCTGGAGTTTCAAGTTTAAAAACATGGTTGATAGACTGTTCCAGAGAGTAACGAGTAAGCACATAAAGAGGAAATGCTATAAAGCCTGGAAATTCAAGTTCAAGTACAAGATTAAGTAGAGGATTATTTCACTAACGATGAGCCAGCCTCATATATCAAGTTTGTTGTACACAAACAGCATGAGAAGAAATATCTGTTACTTAAAGCATTTTTCATGTGGGTCTACAAAAATTCGGAGGAGGCACAAGGGTGGATTTAATCAATATGATGCATTGATGGGTCTCCACAACCATTCTTCTTCACGAATCTGGGTGAGAATCAGAAAGGAAAAAGTGAGCAGCATAACGGATAAGAAAGACCACCCAATTGGAAATTTTAATGGTGGGAATTTTCATCAAATTAGAATTGATCATGAGAACTATGTTTGGTTCATACACATGTGGAACTTAACAAAAGATTCTATGCGGTGTGTGCCACTGATTTTGGGTTCTGTGTTCTCTGTTTTCTACAAGTCTGCAAGTGAGAACAAAGAGGTTGCTAAAGTGTTTCAGTTTCTGCAAAACACAAAACCTGCAATTTTTACAGTGGGTTCGATCAGTTAGTCTCTACAACAAGTCATGTGAAGGGTGTCCGTACAGAGATTTGTAGTATTCAAAGGCCATTTTATTGTGTTAAACCTTGGACTATACAAAATGATTCTCATTTGTGGCATCGTTGGAAGATAAAGGATGAGTCATTACAGAATCATGTTGTGTATGCACTGCCTATACAAGACCACATAGTTCCACAAAGGTTTCTTATGGTGAAGTGGTGGTTGTTACAAAACATTTTGGTGCTAGGAGATGGAGAACACATCCACTTTTCTGTCTGGCATTATTGGCGTAAGAAAAGAAAATGCAGTGGCTATTACGAATCTCACCTCATCTTGTGCTCGAAGTGGGTGAAGTTATCTCACAATGGCAGTAGTTTGATTATAACGGCATTTTGGGCTATTCACAACTACATTCAGCTTCTACAATTGGCATTTTCCAACATAGTTTTCATTTGGAGAATGTGCTCACCGAACCAGAATCTAACTTTCAGGTCATTACAGACTCCTCAAAAGCTACAAAAGTATAAACGGAGGATTAGTGGGTACAAAGGTTGTTCTGCAATCACAGGTTCAGTGTCGCATATCTCCATGTGTTTACAAGCTCGTCTACAGGTCAGAGTGTGGACTTCGGTATCAGCTCCCATTACTGAGATGAGTGTCTTCATGTTGCATCTACATCTACTGTCATTAGGAGAGAGTGCCACTTCCGTGATCTTTTACCTTGGACGTTATCACTTCAGTTTCTTCACATCAAGCTTGAGGGCAAGCTTATTTTCAAAGGGGAAGTATTGATAAGTGTCAAGGAAAATATGATGATGTGGCAGCTTAAGTGGCAGAATGATTGGTTGAAGAGAAGTTGATAGGGCTCAGGTTTTACCCAAATAAAACTACTGCAAGTGCACAATAAAAGCAGCTGTAGTACAAGGGGTATCGAATCCCAAGAGAGTAATGTAAACTACACTACTGAATGTAGGTTCGGACTAAGCTAAGCAGAATGTAATGTATGTAATGCGAATGATTAAATAAAAGTAAGCAAGCGATTTTGTTGTTTGATCTAAGTTTCAGAAGACTAAAAGCGCTAAGTCAGGACAGTTCGCAGGTTGAATCCAAGAATGTAGAATGCATGAAATCATGAATGATTAAGAACCGTTTTGAACATGAACATCAGATATATAACTAATCAATTCTCATTGTAGAAGTTAACTATGTTTAAATCACAGAGTTTCAAATCTCTTTGCAAACCCTAACAACCTAAGCAAGCAGGAATGATCAGATTCAATTGTTCACAAAACTTCTAAGCCAAATCTCTTTGTACTAAGTTGTTTTGCTCATCAAATACTAGTTCAGGTTATCAATAATGCTCTCACATATATTTAACAACCTATGATTTTCGGATTTCTAGATGATGTTTCTAAGAAATTCGATTTTAAAGCAAGCAGAGATGAAAAACCAAAAGATATTCCTAACAGGTGGCAATTCTACAAACTCTTCATCAACCTTTGAAAAAGCCCTAACTTAACTATCAGATTACTCAGACATGATCATGGAATCACAAAACATAACTGAATAAAATTGCATTAAGAGAAAGAGTAAAAGAATAAGAGGGTTCGAAATCTTCTTAAAAGAGTACAGAATTTGTCTCCCCAAAAAGCTTTGAATAAATCTCTCTCGAAACTCTCTGAATTCTCAAAAAACTAAGATCCCAGCCAACAATAGCTGAAAAACCTAATAAATACATGTTAAACACGATATGGGGCCTTCTTGTAAATAATGGAACTTTTGGGCTAATTCTGCAATTAATGCTCTATCTTTTAATAAACAGTCACGACCTCCTTCCTTGGTGGGTGACGAGCGTCACCAGGAGTGGTGACGAGCGTCACCATATCGCATACTTTCTTCTCCGAGCTAGGTACTTCATGGCTTCAACTTGAAATGATCCAAAAAGCTTCAATATCTCCAATTATGCTCCAGACATGTTATAACCTGCAAAGACTTTTCTAGGACTCTAAAAAGACCAAAAAGACTCAATAAAAATGACTTATATCATGGTTAAAAACTATAAAAATCATGATATATATAAAAACCATGATATATCAGAAGTCAGAAAAGTTGACTAAAGACTGAAGCTTGAAGATTCATCGAGCTTTATAAAGAAGCTACATTTGGTTATTAGTTTCTTATGGAAGAAAAAATACAGTAGAATAGGTGTTGTGTATGTGCAATTCTCTGATCGTATGTGATCAGGATCAGATCGTATGTAATCTTGATCATCTTCTGTAATTCTTGTGTTACATTTGATTTCAGTAAATAATTTGAAATCTTAAATCCTATCATTGTGCTTTCTGGAATTTGAAACATTGAGCTTCTGATGTAAAAAAATTAATAAACTGTTATTAAATCATTGGGCTAAGATGCTTCCACTTCACCAACTTAATTTATGTTTCGTTTATGTGCGTTATGAATGTTATGAATTATATGATTGGTCTTGGTATAGTGATTATGAGGACAACCAAGATTGTCTTAATCTTTTTGAAAATGTAGATAATAATAAGAGATCTAGAAATTCGATAGCAAACATGAACCTTTGGTTTCCATGAAACATGTTTCTTTCGCCTAATATTCTTGTGGATAAATGTGTTACGCTTCATTATAGTGTACTTGATATTATTAGTGGTCTTGCATTGCAGGTGTTCTATCACTACAAAAAATAGGTGTATTGTATCACTTATTTTAAATATTTGTATTAGTTATAATTGATACAAACAGGTTTTATATCACTTGTAAAACTGACTCTGATGCAAATAATTAACATCACTTAGCTATCAATTGATGTAAATATATTTTATTTTTGCATCGATTGTTGAAATCGATGTCAATATGTGTCAATTACAAAAACTGATGTTATCGTTTGCATCAATTTTTATTAACGATATTAGTATTTGTGACGATTATAATAAATGATGTTAAAATTAGTTTAGTTTAATATTATGATTATATTGAGATGTTAAAAATAATTTAATTTTATTATTATTTTCAAAAATATTTATAATAATATTATTATTTTAATCTAAAAATTTATGTATCAATAATTTTTTTAAAGACCAAAAAACTCAAAATTATTTTTATTGACTAGTAAATATAAATATTAGGTTTTTAAGTTTCGATATATATAGACATGTTTTCTCTTTCATTTTTTATCAACTACTGATGTGGGATAAAGTACAAAAAGTTAGTTACATCAGTTTTAACTGATATAAAATTTTTATCATTTTTTAAATGATGTTAACCAAAATTATTGATTACATCGATTATTTAACTGATTTGAATACATAATTTTATATCAATTTTATTTAAGTGATGTAAACTAATATAAATTTGTATCAATTTTATTGAACTGAAATTAAATAACCTATAAAAGCATCAATTATGATAAATGATATCATATATTTTGTATCATTTATTAATAAGTAATTTAAAATTTATATCATTTAGTTATGTGATATAATTTAAGTGATGTAATCAATCATTTTTTGTAGTGTATAAGACAAAGATGAATTCTGAAAGAAATTAAATTTATCCGGTTTACTTCACATTTGAGAAAGGCCACAACATATGAAAAGAAATGTTTTATTATAGTTTAATCCGGATTTAATAACATTAATGTGAGGGTGTTTAACATTAAGATCAGGAGGTTGCGTGTAACTAAACCTTGATCAGACCATGAAGGGCCAGCTTTCTATTTTTCAAATATTGGAGGATCAATGTGAAGTTTAAAGCATCTTAGAGGGTCATTTCTCAATAAAGTAAAGAGTTATTACCAGATATCAGGTCGGGTTCGGGTTAAGGTTCAATTCCGGGTTTGGATCAACCCGAAATTTCTGAAATTGTTGGCATTTTGTTTATGGTTTTGCACTTTTGCTGTTTCTTAGAGTTGATAAATAAAAACTCAGGGTTCGCAGCTCTCTCTTATACTGTACTTTATCATAAATTTATAATATAAAATTAAAAGATTATGAACACTATTAAAAGCCAAAAGCCAAAAGCCTAATCAAAATTAATTGAATCATTCAATTAAAAAAAAACAATTTCCCAATGGGAAAAAGTGATCTTCCAACAATGCGAAAGTTCAAAGATGAAATAAAAAAACACACAAATAAACTTGTCCATCACTTTCCCACATTAAGCTATTTTATAATTTTTCCATTTTCACACAAACAAAAAAGAATGCGCATTTGTTCTTCCTCGCCATCCTCTCTCCTCCTCTCTATGTGCCCTTTCTGTTCAAAAAAGTCTTCAATTCCCAATTTTACTCCTCCGATTCGTCAATCTCGTACCCTGGGAACCGTAAAAATTTCAGCTTTTTCTCTTCTCACCGGAAAAAAATCGCCAGAGTTTTCCAGAAATTTGGGTTTTTGACGGCGGGATTCTGGGTTTTTGTTTCTCTCGGAGAAGTAAGCCAGCCAAAGACTAAATTTTGACGATTTTGGGGATTGTTGGGTGTGACTTGGAAGAGAAATGATAGATATCCCTGGAACACCAGGGACTTTGACTGGTTTGGTCTTGAGAATTTCGCAGTGTGTTTTCGCTGCTGGCTCGATTTCTTACATGGTTACTTCCGGTGGATTCTTCAACTTCACTTCTTTCTGGTAAAAACTCCACTCTTTATCGCTATCATCAGTCTTGGAAATAGCCTGGTTTGATAATTGAGGTAGGATTTTTAGGTGAATCGTACAGATCCATTTGCTTCAGAATCTTAATTGTGGACCGCTTTTGAAGCCATTTAGAGTTAGGTACCGAGTCTGATGTTAGGTACCTCGAAGATCTCTGCTTTTTAAGTAGTTTGTTTTTGGGCACTTGGAAGATCTTTGTTCTTGACAAGTGTTGGCTTGATTTGTGTATTGCTTCATGATTGTGGAATCCATCTAGGGGAAAGTCTAGCCTAGCCTTTGTTTTTCTGATATGCAGAGGATCTTGAAACATACAAATCCAGCTTTTAAGACTTAAAAGCCAATCTTCTTGAATACATTACACAGTAGTTAACTTCTGATTAGAATCATCAAAGCTAACATGCTTTCAGATGTAATCTTTGATTCTGCAACAATTCAGCATTCTCAAGCATATGTGAAAATTTTGGTTGCAGCTACTTAATCGCAGCAATGGCATTACAGCTGATATGGAGTTTCGGTCTAGCGATACTTGACACCTTCGCATTAGTGAGAAAGAAAACGCTACTAAGCCCTGTTTTGATCAGCCTCTTTGTAGTTGGAGATTGGGTAAGCCTCACTCTCACTCTCTTTCTTCTCTCAAGTAAAACCATCTTGTGTTGACACAAGAAATCATCAAAACCTTTTCCGGTTTCAGGTCACGGCGACATTGTCTTTAGCCGGAGCCTCGTCCTCCGCCGGGATAACCGTTTTATACTTTGTGGATTTAGGAAGCTGCAGCTTTGAAGCAGAGTGTTGGAGGTATCAACTCTCTGTTGCTTTAGCTTTCCTTTGTTGGATCACTATAGCCATTTCTTCACTTACCACACTTTGGTTACTTGCTTCTGGCTAATTAAAACCAAGAAAAGTTCAACACTTTCTTGTACAAGTTCCATATATATATATACTTACTAAACAAAACTCATTTGAGATTTTTGATTCTTTAGTTTGTTAATAGAAACAGATTACACCATTTTTTTTTTGTTAACTCTTCATTGTATACTGAAATTTACTGTTGCCATTAAGTCCAAGGTTTTCTCCTTTTTTAGTAATTGATTGTAAATTTAATGTTACAAGTTAACAGATTTTTGAATTGAGGTAAATGCTCTTCTTCTTCTGCTTTTGCTATTTCCGTCTTGAATTTCCGAGTTTGCACAGTGGTACTAAAGTAGATATATTCATATATATCATAGGTTTCAGCTGTTTAAAAGATAGTATATAATCATAGGTTTTTTCGGTTGGATCAAACTAAAAATAGTACAAACATGAAAAATTCGGTTGGTGGGTGCTTTTGCCTTGCTTTGAAGCTAAAAGATGGCGAAGATCCAACGGCTGGGAATAAATGAGTAATTTAAAAGAGTGGTTTTAGATGCTTCTACTAGGGACCTATTTGGACCACTATCTTTTGAGTACTTAAATCAACTCCCTGCATTTTCAGATTCCTTTACATTTGGTCCAATACATTTCAAATTTATCTATTTCCACCTTTGTACAACTTGATCAAGAGACAGAAACGAGATTAACGATAGAATTCACAAGTTTCCCAGACATTTTATTCCAAAACAAGAACCTAAGAACAAATCTTAAACACTTAAATATTCTCTCTATCCCCCAAAATAGTTTTACTGCAAAAAACCTACTGACAAAAGAATCATCTCAAGGAAACAAAATTCCAAAGTGATTTTGATAGTTATGATCAATGATGAACCAAAAGAGAAAGAAAGAAGATTTAAGCAGCAGGAGAAGGGCCTTCTTGAGGATCCTGAGACGTACGGTGGTGTGAAGGATGCAAGTATGGCGGCCACATTGTCATGTTTGGATAGTAACCGTAACCGGGATAAACCGCCATTTTACTGGGATGGTAAGCTGCTGCTGGATGAGAAGGCATGAACCCTGGTGATGGAACCGCCATAGATTTCAACTGTTGCTCCATCTTCTCCTTATCAGCCTTCAACACTAGCTTCTCTTCCCTTAGCTCGTTCTTCTCCGCCTATACGCAAAAACCGGAATCAAATCAGGCTCATTAGATAATGGGGTTTAGGCAGAGCTAAAAGTTTCAAGAAAATCAAAGTGAGAAACCAACCTTGAGACTCTTGATCTCTTCTAGAAGTTTCTGGTTGGTTTCTTTGAGCTCATTAGCTTCACCTCTGAGCTGATTCACAACCCGGATTGCATCATCGAGAATCGCTGATTTATCCGTCTTTGGAGTCCTTGTAGGCTCAAGAACAGAGCTCAATTCCATAAACCTGAAAGCATATTGAGACTGTTGAACAACATTGTGCAAACAATTTATCTAAAAACATACGCATTAGGCAAAGTTTTGAACATACTTCTCATTTAGCTGTTCCCTTCTCTGTTTCTCACGACAAGCTTTGGTTCCTGGCTTGCTACATGATCCAGTTCGTCTCCTGTTCATATACAATAATCACATCAGACAGCATAGTTGATGCTAAAGATAGTCCCTGTAGATCAAACAAACAACATAGTGAAAGCTTCGGTGATCCCTGTAATTACTACTGTTCTTAAGTCTAAGGATTCAGGAACTTCTTGTTGATCAAATACAAGAGTTATACCAAAAGAAACACATCACACCAAAGAAAAACACTAGCGTATTGAGATCATCCAGAACAAAGAAACGTAAATAGCAAAAGATTTGGATTTTTTAAAGCTTTATACCTCTTTCCTGAGCATTCTTCCTCGACATGTTCTTGCTCTTCCTTAACAGCTCCAACAGATGATGAAGAATTGATCTCCACTACACCGTTACACACTTGTTCCTGTTCTTGCCGCAAAAGATTCGCTGAATCGTTGTTTTGCCCTCTAAAGCTACAGAATTGTTGTGGCTCTTGCTGCAAGGCTCCACTATACGATGCAGACAAATCCAACTGTGATGATCCAATGCTGCTACTGTACACAACTCCATCATAAGGTCTCAAGTCATCGTTTTCCACTCTAACGCCACTAAACGAATCGAATCGAGCTCCAATGTCAAACACTTGTTCTTGCTCTCCCTGCAGATTCACACCAGACGAACCGAAATCCGGAAAGAGGTTTTCCTGATCTGTCTGTATAAACGCGTAAGGATCTTCTACTCCATTGCTGCAGAATCAAGAGTAAAATCTCCCATCAATGACAATAGAAAAACTTATTCTGGTATTCAAAATCCGAGAGAGAAACACGATTTCCCCAGAATTAACCATGTTCATACACAAGAACAATGAAAAAAACAAAAAAACAAAAACCCAATATTGTTTTAGGTTTCGTTAACGTGTTTTGCGATTGAAATGTGAAATTGGTTTGAAATTTTGAGACTTTTGAGAAACCCAGAGATTAAAAGGTGGAGCACATACATCAGAATTGAGCAATCAAAACAGAAAGCAGAAGAAGGTAGAAGGAGATTCAATAGAGGGAAAATCGAAGAGACCTTTGATCGAAGCAGAAGGCAGCGAGAAGATCGACGTCGTCTTCGTTTGATGGATACATGAGAGAGTGAATGCAGAACTGAGAATCTGTAAATCGTAAGGAGGGACGCTCAAACCAAAAAACTGTATCCCTCAGGAGATACTGTGTGAAGAGAAATATAAATTAGAAAATCTGAGTGACGTAAATATTCTGAGTTTCTTATAGAAAATATTTTTTAAAAAAGGTTGAGGGAATTTCGGAATTTTTAGCCCAAATCGTATTCTCGATAAAAAAACATATCGAATTTTTTTAAACACTTTGGTCTATATGAGAAGACAAAATCAGAATCGAGTTATATTAAATTAAAAAATAAATAGTGAAAATATATGGGGTTTTTAAAAAGCCACGCATTAACCAAATGAAATTGGTTGGGTCAAGACTTAAGAGAATCGTTCAGTGTTGTATCGCTTTTTATAAAAGGCGTTGCATTTGATTTATGGTGTTGGTCCGATATTTACAACTTAATTTTTTTTTTGTTTTCTTTTCTCACTTTTTGACATTCTTTTTCTTAGATTATTCGAGTTGTTTGTATTTTATTTTATTGATTAAAGTATAAATTTGTATCTAAGAAATTGAAAATACCATTATTTTTCTATTGATTTGATGTACTTTCTGTAAGTGATGCATGTAAACTTTGTTTTAAAGGTAACAGTGTTAATCGCATTATCGTTTTAATACAGTCAACGTAACAATAGTCATCATTCAACACCTAATTAATGGTCTTAATACCCAAAGAGTTGTGTATTTCCAATAGCGTGCTGTCGATGCTTTATTACGGCACGTTGTTAATAAATCACTTAAATTTCATAATCACTTTGATTATATAGTATTGAATGTGGTGGTATATACAGTCTACACAAATTTCGAATGAATCATTCAACTAATGCACCACCGTAAATTTATCAAATAATAACAAAAAAAGTCATCCAATCTACTACATGTTATTTGAGAAGTAATATTATTGAAAATAGCTGATTTGTCAACATTAGAGCCAAAGTTAGTGCTTTTAACTGATGACATGTAAATGTGACATATCAAATTTCCTAAAATAAAAAAAATGTTTTGATTGGTTGAATTAAAATTATAGAAATTGTAGAATTAAAACATAAATAAACTAGATTATATTTATAACACTAAAATTAACAAATTTAAATTAACAGAAATAAAAGTTATTATAATTTCAATTTTGTACATATCTTCATAATTTCATAAAATATAATTACAAAAAAATTTCAATAATATATATATATCTACTACATATTATTTGAGAAGTAACATTATTGAAAATAGCTGATTTGTCAACATTATAGCCAAAGTTAGTGCTTTTAATTGATGACATGTAAATGTGACATATCAAATTTCCTAAAATAAACAAAATGTTTTGATTGGTTGAATTAAAATTATAGAAATTGTAGAATTAAAACATAAATAAACTAGATTATATTTATAACACTAAAATTAATAAATTTAAATTAACAGAAATAAAAGTTATTATAATTTCAATTTTGTACATATCTTCATAATTTCATAAAATATAATTACAAAAAATTTCAATAATATATATATATAATAATTTCATATAAAACGAAAAAATAATACTAAATTATCCAATAGAATAATAAAAATTCTATTTATTAATAACATTTGAACTATAATATATTTTTATTTCAGAAAGTTATTAATTTACAAAATATATTCATAACATTTAAACAAGTTTTAAATAAACAAATTATTGAATAATACAATTTTAAATAAAATACAATCATGATAAAAATAATTTAAATAATAAAATGTTAAAAATAATAAAAAATAATCAACTTTATTGATTTTTTTTAAAAAAACGTAATTTTAAATAATTTTTCTTTTCAAACCAATATTTAGTAAATGAATAAAATATGTACTAATTATTAATTTATAATATTAATAAGATCATATATTTTTCTATAACTTTTATCATCTTTTTATTGTTGTTTTCTAAAATGTACATAACTTATGTTACCATCTCATCTTATCTCTTATCATATTTTAAATAAAAATAATTTTTATATCATATGTATATATATATATAAATTTATTTTCATTGTATATCAAAATTTTAAGAATGTAAATAAAATAAAAAATAACCGAACGAAAGAATAAATTATAATAAGATGAAACAATATGAATTGGAAATAAAAATAGAAGTATGTAAAAATAAATCTCTTGCACTTTGTTTTACAAAGTCACTTAAAAACTTTTTAACACCTAAGAACCATATTTCAATTTTTTTACAAATACGCGTACAGACATAAATATTAATTGTACATTAGTTGAAGTCACATGCAAACTTTTCTGTGCATGTATTTTGTTAAGATTGATTACAGACTAATTTTTATTTTAATTATTATACAATTTATATTTTTTAAAAAATATTTATCTATTCTAAGTGTAGTGAAGTGGTTGGTATGTCCGCACATGCGTGCCAACCATCTATCCGTTGTTAAGAATAAGTAAAAATAGTAAAAACTATTTCAGTTTAATTCGTAATAAATCAAGAAAAATATATACTTAAAATATATTATATATGTATTTGCAAATTCATATTATGTAAGATGCAAAAAGCATATTGTAGATTGTGTAAGGAGAAATAAAGCATATTATAGAAATATTCAAAAAATCTTATAAAAATTTATTTCTTATTTAACATAACTTTTATATTTGTGATTATGTAGTATTATAAGCATTATAAAAATAAAGTTTTTAAAATACATTAGTTTCAGAAAGAAGTTTGTGAAATATTAAAATAATATATATACAAACATACCAATGTTTAAAAGAACTAATCGATATTTAAATATTACAATTAACTATGTATATAAAAAAATTATAGCTGCATATATGTGCGGGCAACCACCTAGTTACTATATGTACTACCATAAATTACTTATTTATGGCTTCCAGTAAATATATTGTATTCATATATTGACTGTAGGAGTATTTACTAAAATCTATACTATGCTTTATAATAATTAATTTCTAAGATTTTCAGAGTATTAGTTTTCTTTTCTTGTTGTAACGTTTCGTTACGATTGGATAAGGGGTCACGTTGTGTGTTTTTAGGCCTCATATATACAACTCAGGATCAGTCTTGTTTTTCACTATCCCAAAAAGGGTATTAATGATGTTTAGTTAATATGATGCACACATGTTAAATAAAAATTACACTATCTGATGATATAAACAACAGGTAAAATAATGTAAACATCTTTTACATAAAATGGAAAAAATAATATTCCTCTATTTAGTTTTGTCTCTATTATAGAATTAGCAATATCCACACACTCATAGAAGACCAAACTAAAAGACTTGTTTGGTCGACAGTCGAACATTTTGAAAGAGTGGGCACTTGACAACGAAAAAAATCTAACTTTGGTACGTAAAAGCAAGAACAAAACACACAAAGTAGGAAAAGGGTCAATCAAAAAAAAAAAGTATAGACAAGTGAAGCAAAGTGTGTTCATCGTCGATCAAAAGTAAAAGAATCAAAGAATCATTCATGTCTTTTAAAGTTGTTTTGACACTTGGAAGTTTGTAACAACAAAACGTTGGTTGGCGTTTTCAAACGCCGCATCTTCGAATTCCCTAGCTCTCCAAGCCTATATATATAAAAGCAAAATGAACATTCTTCCTATACATTTCTATCTCAATATTTAAATATAGTCCACATAGACGTTTTAGTCTATATCATCGTAATACCCATTCATCTACACCAATACTTCGTGAATTCGGGATTTGTCATCTCATATATACAAGGTGACATGGCAGTCTTCGTAACCACAAAAAGCTAAGCGAATCTTCAGATGTCTGTTTGTTATGTTTCGTGACAAAGTTTAACTAACATTGTATTTAAGTTGGCCAAATCAACACAAAATTTAGGAATTGTTTATCTAATAAAATAGTTGAAGACTTTTTAGCCATTAAAATATGCAATTCATATACATTATATTCATACATACATGTATATTTAATCTTTAGGCAAAGTGAACCAGGAAACCAGCAAGGGAATCTGAGAAAGTTTTCACTTTCGAAAAAGTCAAATATGATTTTGCTTTTGTACCAAAGACTAATTAAGATAGATCCATAGAGACCAATACACAAGCAAATCTAAGGGGATTTAATGTTTGACACTTGGTTCATTTTTTCCTTCAAGAACATGGTTTTATAATTGATTATTTCGCTGTTCTCTATATGAATGTGAGAACCTGTGCTTAATTTTTCCACTTTTTGTTTCTCATGGATGAGATCTGTTCTTTATCAACATCTTGTTGGATTTGTCATTATTGTGTATGAAATCATTTTGAGACTAATTTCATCTTGAGATTAAAACTTTTGGACTGAAACATTTCAAGTTTCAGACATATATATGTCCTTTTGCATCAATTCACCTCAGTTTCAGAAATTTCCAAAAAACCAAAACTCTACTTCACTCACAAAGAAAAATGTGTTTCAATGTGAGCTCTTCATGCAAGATGGCATGTGAGATAAGTTGACAATTGTGGTTGAAGTTCAAAGAGTAAACATTAGAAACACGCCCTAACTTCACCACTATGTAGGAGCGATGGAGCCTGATGTAGGACAGTATTATTAATGGTTACTGTTACAAAAGATTAATGGATACTGGTACAAACAAACAAAAAATACTTGGAATCCGATTTTTAGACAGATAAATTATTTAAAGTATTTTTGTCAAATTTATGGCTTTTTTGGGAAAACTTGAAGAATAAAGTAAAATAATTAGTGGGAATTGGGAAACAATTCTTTGGGCCTTTTGGGTCGTACTTTCATATCGAGTACTAATCTCGAATAAAGAGGCCTGCCTGAACCTTTAATTTGAGTTTTGTTTTGTGTTTCTTTCAGTCGCCTTTGATTTAAAATATCTATCGCTGTAAGCCCATAAATATAATTTAACGTTTGTAATGGCAGATGATCGTGGAATGAGTAATTATAACTGTGGTGAACTCCAGAGCTTGAGTTTGCGTTACGGTTAATCAACTTGAGCGTTACTAAAGTAATGTAAATTCCGATACTTGATAGTTATATTTAAATAGTTCATTGATCATGTGGCAAATATCTATTTAAGGTGCCCAAGTTTCTCAAGTTCGTAGGAAGTAGGAACTATTGCAAATAGAAAATTATGTAATAAGGGCATTAGAGAATGTAAATTTTGTTTACTGTCTCTATGCAGAAAGAAAATTATATCTTGTTCATATATCTTAATGCGATCAAGATTATATAAGGTTTACGACATTACTTTTGAACTTCTGGTCAAAAAACACATTTATAATAACTACGACAATAAGAGTAAAAATGTAACTATATTTTATATTATCTACTACGAGAGTGTAGATATAATTATGCATAATACTATATAGTACTATGTTAAAACATTTAATAAGATTCACACCTTTCTATGCATTTGGTAATGGTCAAATTGAAATTTAAAAGACTAGAATCAACCACACGTGCGGTCAGAGTTGACATGTGGCAATTAAATGGAATGGAAGAAAAGAAAAAAGAAAGAGCTTGACCGCGAAAGTGAGAGGCTGAGATCAATTTTGGTCCGTTGTCATAAAATACTTTCCATCAATTTAGCCGTCACCTTGACCATCTAGATTCATTGGACTTTACTCACAATTTTAATATTTTCATTTCTGCCCCCCCAACTTATCCTAAATTGCACTGGATATAGAGCAGCCCCAAAAGTTTCCATCTCTTTGTTAACCCCAATGATTCCTTTAATATTACAATGTCACACATAAACTTATTTGTTACAATCTACCCCCTGATTAACTTTATTTACAATCTAAAGGAGGCTTTTGATCACCCGCACGTGCTTAATAAGATCCACTAGATTCCCTACAGTGTCAAATTACTTCCACGTATAAAACTATCACTACTATAAACTCATGTACATGCACAAACATATACTGTAACTTGAAGCTTCCATATACACTTATGGAACATAGAGAGTCAAACGCAAATGAGGTGAAATACAGAGGCGTAAGGAAGCGTCCGTGGGGGAAATACGCGGCGGAGATACGCGACTCTGCAAGACACGGTGCTCGTGTCTGGCTCGGGACATTTAACACAGCGGAAGATGCGGCTAGGGCTTATGATCGAGCTGCTTTCGCCATGAGAGGCCAGAGGGCCATTCTCAATTTCCCTCATGAGTACCAAATGACGATGAGGGACGTTTCAAGTGGCGGCGGGGAGAATGTGGTGGCTTCTTCGTCGTCGGAGTTTAGTGGAAGAGACGGTGGTGGCGGGAAGGAAGTGATTGAGTTTGAGTATTTAGACGATAGTTTGTTGGAAGAGCTTCTTGAATGTGGAGATAATTGTAATAAAAACGTTTGGAATGACGCAAACCGTTAATTAGATCGATTTGTCACTTCTTTGTATTCTTCTTTCAGTTGTTTTAGATCACTAGATTTACTAGTACCCACAGTATCTGATTAGTAACAGTTTTTATTATCTGCATTATTGCATTAATAATAGAGATTTTTGATTTTGGAGTAACGAGTATTAAACTATTAGTTCTGTTTTTTATCCTTAGTCAAGAAGAGATTTTCTGTTTTGTATGTCAATTTTCCCGGGAAAATTTAAATTACTTGTCAAAAGATTGGTTTTCTTTCTAATTATTATTATATAATTACTAGATGATGGCTAGCGTTACAACACTATAACTGGTCCGTGAAGCTGTGTTTGATGTCCGCTTAAACTTTTCTATTCCATGTAAATTAAAGATCATTTGAGAAATCAAAATCAAGATAGCCATGCTAATTAACGAGTACGAGAATATATAGTAGAAAAAAATAGGTAAGACATGTAAATGAATCGATTGTAAAAGACCCCAAAATACTTGCTAAGAGAAACGAACACTGGATTAAAATTTTATCACAACTTATTGTTTATGCTAGTTTCTGCTTGATCTCTTGTATAATCCTTGGTGCAATCGTTTGATATGACTTCTCACTAGGGTGGCCATAGTCCCAAAACACGTAACGAGATGCATCAGGGCACGGGATAGGCGATGTTGGCATACAGCAGCATCCATCAGCCACATCAATAAACCCTAATAATTCCAAATTAAGTAGAATAACATATTAATCTTTTACACAAAAAACAAAGAGCATACTACTCTTGAAAACAGTATTATAACGGTGTAACGCATATAAGTTACCTGAAGCCTGAGGATTGTTGATGAGATTTTGAAGAGGATTATACATGTCTACGTAAACAAATCTCGCACCAGGAAGTGTTGTCCCGAGATTGTTAAGTTTCGCAGACAACTTTTTGTTGAAATTATCAGCCCCTTGGTTTGCAGGAACTGAACATAGTTTCATTATATTCCCATAAGTGTTTCTTGCTCCAGGCAAACAACCTAGTGGTAGTGTTCCAAGAACCGCAAATTTTCTTGCACCCATATCGTATAAACTCTTCAAATAACCAAAAACAATATATTAAATATTTGGGTTTATATAATGACTAAAAAATAATAATGACACAGTTTTGTTATATATCCTAAAATAATAATTTGGTACCTTTAAAAGATTATCAGTCCAAGTGACCAAGAGATCAGTATAAGCGGAAATAGTGGTTCGTGCGGTCGGGAAGGTGATTGCAAGATCATTATTTCCAGCTGCTATTAAATATATGGCGTTTGATAAAACTGCGTTTGCTTTCTGGCTTCCAACAACGCCGTTTAGTTTAGTAACATAGTTTTGGAAATCCTTAACCTGATCTGGAACCCATATAACTCCCTGTGATCATTCCGTATATACATTCAAATAAAAGATAGTTATGATTTAAGAATAATTGCAATTTGCAAAGTAACTCAAATCAATATAAGTAACTTTTTACTTGTAATCTGGCAGTGCGTTGATCGAGACCGGATCCACCAGATGCGAAACAAACACCAGTCGGAAGATCATTGTTCGAAAGGTTGGGGTCTCGGTAAGCCGGTAAGAGAGTTTTTAAGCCCAAACCTTCGGCTGCACAAAATTAAAAGACTATGTCAAATAATATTTGGTAAAATAAAAACTATTCATTAGTAATCATGATTACAATATGTATTGAAAATGAAACCCTATAATTGTAGGAGTATAAAGCTATTTTTAAAACATATACCAATCATATCTGAGAAAACTCTTCCATTTCCAAATCTTCCGGTAGCTTTTCCGCCCGCAAAGTTTCTACCATACGGAAAGAAATTGCATTTGGAATTAGTCGCCAGATTGTTGTTATTGCCGGTATCGAGTATGGAATCTCCGAAAGCGAAGAGTGCTGAAACTGTTGCTTTTCCTGAAAGTTGTTGAGCATGACCAACAAAAAACGGGCAAACAAACAATGCTAATGCTAATAGCATTTTAGAAAGTAGAGAGAAATTCATCTTTTTGGTATCAGTTTATATGTGTATATTGATGAATATTTGTGTATAAAATGAAAAACTGATGTATTCGACGTGAAAAATAGGTTACTATTTATACAAGAAGAGTTCAAAGAAATGCAAAGATGAATGAGATATTTTTTAAAAAATTTCGAAATGACTCAAATCCAATTAATTTTTGTGAATACTCTCTTTTGAAAGTATTTACAATGATATATGGAAACACATAATAATTAGAGAAAATTTGGAAAAATACTTTCAAAAGAGATTGTATTTTGAAAACTATACCATTGTTCTTTTTTTTTAACTATACTTAAATAAGGCATTTTACCAATTCTCCCTAATAATAACCATTTGAATTATTCAGTCAACCAATCAATTATCAATCAATTAATCTCCGACCAAAAAAAAATCAATCAATTAGTCAATCAGTTACCATAATAATTACTGATAATTACCATTTCTGAATTACATACTAATTACCATGTTTATGTATAATAAGATAAGGTTTTGTTCTACTGCTGGGCTTCACGTTGTTAATTATATAGATTCGGCCCAATGCGCTGTATTTTTTAATTTACATAATTACCATGGGTAGATCATTGTATTTTATTTTATTTTCAATTGTTGGTAGATTTGAATTCAGGCAATCACGACACTAATACAAACAATTATACTACTACATACTTTAATCATACTAGACTACTGTTAAACATGTTTCAACTGTCCTTGGTATGAGAAATTTCCCGCTAAGAAAAAAACCGACGATATACTTACAAAACAAATAAACAAACACTTAGGGTACCGGTACAGTATGGAGTTGTTCACGATATCAAAGTTCACAATAAAGCTACAAACAAAAAATGACAACAAAAAAAGCTACAAACGAAATATATTAAAAATAGAGAAAATTCCATATCAAGAAGCACCTTTGATTGTTATTATTAATCTTTCTTTTCAGTCGAATTTCTACCTTAATGACGTTAAATTGGAAAGCCAGAGAGTGGATGAACTTATTTCGTTTGTGAACTAGTTCAGTGATTCCATTTATAGTCTTCATAACGAATATTAAAGCTCGTAAGATCGATAAAGGTTGGTAACATGAGCCATTCTAGATTTTATCAATGGACCATTTTGTGTCTAGCGGAGGGACGCTATGTTCTCTGAGAAGTGTTATGGGAATGCTTAGTGTATATATTATGAAATCATACAAAGTAATACGTACAATTAGACCTTCAGTACTATTGACATCATATATATAATATAACTTTCTGAAAATCTCATCAAAGAACAAATATCCCTTATAAAAAACCTAATGGAAGCTGGTGTACGTACTTAAATAATCTAACAATCATATTTCATGGAAACGCATACACCTTTATAGTACAATTTATGGCCGTAGAACGTTATGAAAATTCCAAAATAAGTACTAAATAAGCAATCTACATGCACACAATGCACGTAGCTAGCCACCACAACGCCACATAAAAATAAAGAAAACAAAACTACCGTTTCTTCCTTTCTTCTGAATCAAGAAGTTCTTCAAGAACCCTATCGTCCAAATACTCAAACTCGAAAACTTCCCTTTGGTTTTGTCGACTCACGCCCGTAGAAGTTGAAGCCGAAGATGAAGAAGAAGAAGAATAAGGAGGACGAAGCGAGTAATCGTCCATACGAGAATAGTACTCATTAGGGAAGTTAAGTATAGCGAGATGACCTCTAAGGTTAAAGGCGGCTCGATCATAAGCCCTTGCCGCATCCTCCGCAGTCTCAAACGTGCCGAGCCAAAGACGTGCACCGTTCCTTGACGGGTCTCGAATTTCTGCTGCAAATTTGCCCCATGGTCTCCTACGTACGCCTCGGAAACGAGCTTGCTTGTCATCTTGTAATGATTGGCTGTTGCTCCTCCTGTTTGATCCCTCCATAAAACCTGTCCTAAGTAGTCTCTGGTAGTTCAAGATTGGTTTGCTGTGAAGAGTTGGGTGAGAAATGTTATTAAATAAGAGAACTATATGGATGATGTATTGTGGTGCGTATATTTATATAAGGCTGGATTTTCGCCGAGTCAGAATCGACGTTCGTTATCACATGACTTGACGATTCTTGGGGGTTGACGGTTCTTCTTTCCTTTTATACCCTTGTAATATTTATTTATTTATTATTCTTTTATTAATAATAAAGTGTTGTTTTCCAGGAAGGTTCCGCCTGCTACACGAATCCATATTTGGTTGTTCTTGACATATTTGTTTTTTTTTTTTTTAATTATTAGCTTATTTTGTCAGTCTTTGACTCCAGAGTGACCATAACTGTTTTACAGAAACTCGTGTAGAAACAATCTATCGACGGTCTAGGATTATAAAAATCTTAAGAATAGTTAATAGGTTCGGAAATATCAGAATTCACAGTCCATAGAATAGATAAATTAAGCATATACCTTATCCCGTAAGTCCTACGCATTCAGTGACGACATGTAAGATCTTTTTCTAGTTATATGTAATAAAAACTAATAATGAAAATTAAAATGATCTTTAACCAAAAAAGGAAAAGGTTTTTTCTTTTTTTGTCATCTATATTTCATTACAAGATCAAAGTAAGAAATATATGACCGAATTCAAGCCTTAAGGCCTAACACAAAACAGGCGTATAATTCTTGCATATACAACAAAAATTTGTACTCAAGTTTTCTTAACCATGTCTAGAATACAATACATATAAAGCACATAATTCATACGTATACAACAACGACACATACATATATATATATGTTCGTATATTTGTATTTTGATTGCTACAAAATATATATTATTTTAATAGTTGATCCCCCCCCCCCCCCCCCCCGACGTTTTCTAGAACGAAAATAAGAGACTGAGCGGAACAGACGTTTAATAAAACGATTTAATTATAACTTTTTAAATGAGCATCACCATTTTTTTCACAGAATCTATATAATCTTTATAAAATTTATTGATTTTTAAATTTAACATATTAATTTTATAAAATCATAAGTTTAACCTTACATTTGAGTTTTGTACTTTTAATATAGAAATTTTTTAATATGAAAATCTTTCAAAATTCACAAAATTTCTTTTTAAAACCAAGTCCATGATTTTAAAATTATAAACCAATAATACAGAATTTAAATATAGATTTTAAAACCATAGAATTAATAACACTGAATTTGAATATAAATTTTAAATTTATAAAACCAATAATACTAAATTTAATTAATTTTTCTAAAATCTATTAAAATCGTAAAACCAATAACTCGTACAAAAAAACTTTATATGAGCATTCCACTCTTTTACGAACATAAAAAAAAACATCGAATGGGAAATCATTAGTGATGGAGTAACTGTATGACTATTCAGATTATATATATCAGCGTATGTATATATATTATATCATAGCTTTATATCTGTGAAGGTCAAATCAATGTTTATGTGTCTGATCATGTTTTATTTCTTTTACCTAATATATGAGATGTCTCTTTTTGCCTTAATCTTTTTAATTAGGGATGAGATTCTGATTTACCAAAATTGGAATATTAGATTTTGTTCCAACTTTACAGTTGATGTTACGTGAGTTCTTATTCCGAAACTATCGTTGTTTTTTTCCTATCATAGTACAACATATACAGCTATGTCATATCTAATCAGTGTCACCTGTTAACCGTGATTCGAGGATGATTATTTTGTTTTTGTTATTTCATATTCAGAAACTTTATAGTATTTTTTTAAGCCAAACCCAGCCTTTAATAATTTTTGTGGTGAGTTTATGAACGTAAATCATTCCTTCCTAAATGTAACACATATGATTCGAATCCAACTTTGGTAGAGCTGAGACCAAACTCATTTAATTGGTTAGTGCCGGCTTTGACTCCAAGCAAACTAAGCATGGATGGGTTTAAATAAGTTTCTAATTTGACGATGCACATGCAACTAGGAGTTATAGACATTTAATCTGGTTCACATGTAACTATGTATAGTTTAAGAGAATTTTGAGAAATAATGAAAGTTGAAATTCTGAATTTTTAACAACAGACATCTCTTTATAGCCTCAAAAAACTAAATTATCGTTTGGGGAATTTTGCCAACCCTAGAAAATCCCAGACTTTTAAAATTTAGAGAGGGGAGTAATATTTTATGGTCAAAATTAGATATCAAATTGATGGTCATATAAAGATATATATAGATGCATTCTCGGGGCTGAAATGGAATGGGTCTGTTGTAAAAAGGATGGAGAGACTTTACAAATAAGTAAGCTCTTTTTTCAGGTTTGGTTCGCCAACTCGGGATCTTAGATTTTTATAGTTGAGGTTGACAAAAAAAATAATAATAATAATGCGCATCTTTTCAGTCGTAGATAAATTTATTAATGATATCTCTATATCAACGAAACAGACTGCTGTTTATATAATTTTTTATTTAGTGTACAGAGTACTAAAAAAGTAATAGATTCGAGGGTTTGGTGTAGAGTTAAATAGTCAAATCTTATTAGGTAATTACTTTATAACAACACTTTTAGTCAAATGTATTTTCTAAAAAGTATGATGATTAGTGTCAAATTGGTTCAAAACACTATTTTAAACATGACTCAGATTTTGCAATTTGATTGATATGGATGTCATAAAAGTGTCTTTTAGAGATTATACCCTTTGATTATAATACAAACTTAATCTTGGTCAAACGATGCCAGTTTTCTATAAATTTGTCTTTTGGACTCAACTCTTTTGACAAGCAAAATAAATGATATGATTTTCGACATTTTCATTTACTATCCATTAATATTATTAAAAAAAAAACACCTTAATTCGTAGAAATGTCTTCGGCCATCCTACATCCAAGATCCCATGTTTTAAGATATTGCAAAATGTAAATCATGGATTCAAGTTTATAGGCACAATTTCTAGAAAAGCATCCAAATTCTTTTTTTTTTTTTTTTTTTTTTACGTTGTACTATATTGTCTGTTATATTAAAAAAAATTATATCTTATAGTGTTAGCG